CAGTCCGCGGCGCTGCGCCCCGAGCGCGGCGAGCTCCGCCTGCAGCCGCTCCACCTTCACCCGGTGCGAGGCCACCGTCGCCACGCGGCTCTGCAGCTCCTGCTCCAGCTCCTCCAGCTCTTTTTTCTAAACAAATTTTTACCACAATTAAAAATAAAACAAATCTGCATGTCTTGGGGGTTCATATCATATGATTTAAAAATATGTTTTTAGATAAACATATATATATATTAATCCGATGTTCTTATGGTGAAGGAAAACATCGTGATATTGCCTTCACATATCTGTGAAGAAATTGAATATGTGTGAAGTCAATCCACACTTGGCCAACTTAGTTGACTGAGGTCTTGTCACACTTAGGTTAGGTTCCGAGCCCCTCAGTGGGGACTTATAGTGAGCTGATGATGATGATGAATAAAGTTTAGTACTAACATGCCTGTCGACGGTGTCCTTTATCGTGGTAGCGGTGTTAGGTTCACACTGCTGCAGGAGATGCATCAGGCTCTCTGTCGAGGTCTCCGACGCAGGACTGTCAGGACTTGGTGATGAACTCTATAGGAAACATCTTAGTAATATTATAAATGCGAATGACTGGATGTATGGATGTCTGTTAGAAAGTATCTCCTGAAAGGCTCAACAGATCTTGATAAAATTTGGCGTAGATGTAGAACGTAGCCTAGGCCATAGGCTACTAATTAAATTTTTTAATTTAACGCGGACAGCGTCAAGGGCGAGAGCTAATTACTTAATAAGTAAGAAATTTGTAAACATTAAACATAACTATATTAAATGGTAAGATTTTTGAAGGACTCCAAATATACATCAAACTAAAAAAAAATTACGTAGTAGTAAACAACAGATATTAAACAGATTAAAAAACAAACATTAGAAATAACAAAAAAGTAGATTTATATGCAGGGAATGTAACTCTACCTAGAATCTATATTAACAAGCACATTCACACACACAAAAAAAAAGAAATACTACACAAACCTTATTCAATTCGTATCCTTTTCCCAACAGTTCCTTGACACTGGTTTCCACAAAAGATTTCAGCTCTTTTCTCTTGTCACCAAGTTTGTCTTGCAGATTAGATATCTGAACCTCCTCTTTTTCTATCTACGCAACACAAGGGAAAAAGCAAAATAATATTTATAATAAAGCACTAAATTATTTATAACCAAACTACAGTAAAATAAAAAAAATATATTAAAAAATATATTGTCTTAAGAATTAGGTTAATACAAGAAACCAAGTGAATTTTTTTATTAGTAAAAATCGTAAATTAATTTTATTAGTATAAATTGTAAATCGAAATGTATTTAATAAAAAGAATTTAGTGCTCCATTAATAATAAAATAATAATAAGCATAAAATAAATAACAGAAATTAAACTTCAACAAGGTGAAAGAAAATAGCACACAAAAAACAAACGATGAATAAAAAAATGCGCGATTTTTATAGAAAAATTGCTATTGCTGTTATAAAGTATTGCCATATAAAATAATTAAAGATTAAAAAAATAGCAAGACAAAATGCACGAGACATCTACTTTTATGTGGAACAGAGCTAAAAATACCGCGCGCTGGGAAAATATAAACAATCAAATGATTGTTGCCACCAAAGTGAATGCTGATCGATGTAACCGCTACTATTTGTTTCAGAATTCAATAATTAAATACGAAGTTAGACCCACTAAAGAGACGTCAATTAAAAAAGAGAAAAAAAATATTGTCGTTTTGTAACTGCTTTTAGAGTATTCTAAAAATTTTTTGATTCTCAACAAAGAAAGCGTATGTCTCTTTCATTCTAAAACTAATGGAAATAAGTTTGTCTTCTTCTAGTTATGTATCGCAAATGTATATCTCGAATGATTCCCATTGACTTGGTTCGAGAACTAATAGTAGTGGTTATTCCGCAGTAGAATGTAAGTACAACGACCTCGTATGTGTAACAGTATCGCTTTATTGCTAAATAAATGTCTTACGACATCATTATTGAGATGATTTAACTACATCTTGTCACGTTAAGGTTATCATATGAAGAAAGTTATACATGAACGATTTTATACGTAACATATATTTTTTTTGTTAAGTAAAATGATTCATGATGAAAAAATGACTATATTACTGAAGTGTGTCATCGCTCATATACCATAGAGTGGGTTTCAAAATATTTATGAAGAAATAAACTGTATAACTGCAATTAAAAAAAAACTACATTATGAGGGAAATAATTTGAGTTTTCATTTGGAACTTTATATAAAATAGCTAGCTATACTAAATAACTCACGTTCTTCATATTGCTGATCTCCTGGTACCTAAATCATCTATGTTACTAGGATAGTATGACTCACATGTGCCCGCGCCGCAACCTCCGCTGCACCGTGTCGCTGCACGCGCGCTGCAAGCTCGCGTTGTCGGCAGCGTAACGCGCGTCTTCGCAGCGCCCACCCGCGTTCTAACGCACGCCAGTCGCCTGACAACCGTCTGCATGCTGCCGCGTACTCACGCTCCATTGCTGAACGCTCCTAAGTAACGGAAAATTATGAAATTCCATATTTTTTTATATCCAAAGTTGGCAAACGAGCGAACGGCCACCTGAAATCGCTGAAATAGCGAAGTGACCGTTGCCCATAGACATACGCAATTGCATATGCGTTGCCTACCTTTCATCGACGGAGGAGAGGATGCACAGAAAGAAAATACTTTCCCTTCCTATGCATCCTCTCATCCGGAAAGTCCACTTCCACTTCCCATCCTTTCCTTATAAGAAAAAGGGTAGGAAGGGAAAGAGGACTAAATGAGGCCTACGGGACGCACACTCATCAGACAGAAGGTGGACCATATCTTTGTATCTTGATTCTATATCATCAACCAAACCTTTATAAAGTTTTAGACTGTAGTGTCTATAAGCAGTAGTTTTTATGTTCTATGATTAAGATGAGCGAAAGGCTCTCAGTCTTTCATCATGATAATTTCTATTCCCCTGGTAGTCTGACCTCGTCGAGTTTCTTCTGCGCCATTAGCAGCTGCTCGCGCTCCTCGTGCCAGCGCCGCTGTCGTTCCTGCTGCTGCAGCAGGAATTGCTGCCGTTCACGTTCCAGCTCCGCGCGCTGCGCCTCGATACGCTCGCATTTTATCTCGCTCTCCAGGTCACTAGAGGAAAAATTGGCTGTTATTTATATGCAAACATAGTTTTTAAATGTACGATAGATGGCGTTGTAGTCATTTAAAAGTCAAATAGCTCCAAGGTTACGTACGACAGTGTGGTATTGAGGTTCTCGGTACTAGCAGCTAGATCTGTGGTGGACCAGGAGAGCAGCGAAAGGCGGGAGAGGTTCATGACTGAGGCGCTGCCCTCCAGCCGCAGCTTGGCCGCTTCCGCCGGGTCGTTGTAGCGGAACATGTTGGTACGACCCAACAGTAAAATGCAACCTAGAAAAGGGACTTTTATTAGTACTAGGATGCTATAACTAGCTACTTTTGGCGTCCGAAAGTCGCCACGACAGAGTACACAGTGAAATCTACACTGATCAAGTCGAACTGAGACATATCGACCGAAGAAAGGATGGGAAGGGGCGTATATGAATGATGTATCCTCATTCTGCACATCCCCTCTATCTATGTAAGGTAGACAACAAATCTGGACCTCATTACAGATGCCACTTGGCTCAGTAGTATATTACCCTGGCTGAGTTTGGCTGGTCCGTCGAGCAGCACAGTGTTGAGCCAGCACTGTGCGCCGGGTGCAGGCAGTAGCGTGGCGACGCCCTCGCGCAGCACCACACGGCAGTGCAGCGGCAGCACGCCCGCGCCGCTCAGCACTATGTCCGGCGTCGGCGACAGCTCCTCGCTGCCGATCACCGTCTCACCCTCCTAACGTCACAACGTACAAGTTTCAATATCAAACGAGAGGACAATTTTTAACATAACTCACGCCCGTAACCCAGAGAGGTAGGCAGAGACCACGGCCCCTATCTGGCGCAGTCCTGACACACCTCGCTCGCTTCTTCCACATTCATAAATTTACGCATAGGACAATTTTATGGATCTTTTTTAATTTGTTAAATATATATTTGATTTAAATTCAATAGTCATTACTTCAAGTTATAGGTTTTTTGGTAATTAAATGATTTGTTTAAGTAGAGTTAAGTTATACAAATTGTGAGGCTAAACACCAACCTTGAGATGGTAGAGTGTGACACCGGTTGAAAGTAAATTATCATCAATGCCGACGAGATGCGGCATGTCAGAGTCGAGGACTACGCCGAGGCCGCTTTTGCGCAGCCCCAGCGCCTTCTGTTCCTGCAGGATCTGCTGCGTCTCTCGCCACTTCTCCGTCCACTTCTCTGTCAGCACCTTCTCTTGTGCCTCCTTACGCTGCAGAGTCGCAAGCACCGCGTTTTCCGCTTCCACGGGGTTCTGGTCACGAAACAATTAAATATTTACTATGAAAAAGTAGCTGACATAATTAAACTGCTAACTGTTTAGAGAAGGTAAGAATCAATTTTTGCCGCAATCTCTACGGCGTTTGAGTTGGCACTTCACACAGAAGAGTACTCTTGTTCCCAATGTGCCAACTCATTTGTGGAGTATAGTAAGGGTACTGACCGTATTGTGTGCGATCTGGGCACGCAATTTGTCGATCTCATCACGCAGCTCGCGGATAAGCTTGACGTTTGGATCCTCATTGATTGTTGGCTTGTTGATGATGTTCTTGGCGCGATTGGCGTAGCGCAGCGTTGACAACGTCTCCCCGTAGTTGCAATCCGCTGGAGATATCTGTAGACAATGCATACGAAAATGAACTTTAAGCGGAATTTTATACGATTTATTTTAGCGTGCACTAATCGCAACATACAATAATGTATTTTAAACACAAAAGATTAAGACTCATTTTAGAGTACTTACCGCAGCAATCATGATTGTCTTGGAATTACCGCCTAGGGAATCTTTTAGTAACCAAGTCAGGACTGAATCTCGGTATGGGATGAACACATTTTTCTTAGTTTTTGGAGTACGATCTGAAAAGAAAATGCAAATAAATTTTAAAATGTAATATAGATTATTCGATTTCATATGTTTTGAGTTCTTCTAATAGTCCATTAGATGTATCAACTAACTGTCGGCCTGCTGGCTGGACTCTGCAAGCGCGGAGATGACGGAGCCGAGTGTGACCAGTGACTTGTTGATGTGAGCACCCTCCACCAGTCGCTGTCCAGTCGCGCCCGTCGCATCAGCACGCTCGCTGTAATAAACACCAAGAAACATTTACATTTTCTATTGATTAAGTAACATTACAATGTACCAGGCAATCATAACAAGTAAGAAGCTTTACCCTAAAAAACGGTTTTAAGGAGAGAATTCTTTAACCCAAAATTCGTTTTTTTTTTGAGAATAAAGTATCAACATGTTCATCAAGTACCAGGCGAGCATATCACACAAGAAGGTCAATGGTTCACCTGCCGGCGAGGTCGACGAGATGCACCTTGGAGAGTGTCTCGCAGGGCATGTTATTGTGGCGCGTATAGCCGGCCCGCACGAACGTGAGCGTGAAGATGGCGTGCGAGCGAGACGACACGTCGTTCATCTGAGTCGATGCAGTCGTGCGCTGCTGGTTGCCACGCGTCATGCATTCCTGGTACAAGGAAATAAGGGAAGATATGAAAAAAAACTACTTTTTGATATATAAATGCAAAGTGTACATAAATTAAATTCGCACCTGTATATCATCGTAATCCGATACAAGGTGCCTCGACAGGTCCTGCACGTAGGGCCCTAATTTGGGATGTTCACGGACCCTCAGTGAGTGCCCTGCATCCCCAGACAGCAGATCCTTGACGCGTTCGTTGTAGATCTCCAGATAGCTGACCTCCGTACGGTAGGAGGAGCCAGTCTCCTTGCCCGCCGCCATACGGGAGAACAGTTGCCGACATATCCGCGGGATAAGACCTTGACATTCCTGGAATAATGACAGATTTTAGAATAAATCTGTTAACGGCACTAACAGAGTTTTATTTCAAAACTCAGAGTGGTTAAGTGATCAGTCACTTAGACTCTTAATTTCTCCCAAAATTGTCTGCAAAATATTCCTTTAGTATCTTTTTATAAAAATCTTGAATGTAGGTAATGTTCCGTTGCGTTTATATGGCATGGTGAAGTCATAGTCAACTAATCGCTACAAAGTTAACGCCCACGTAGATTCGAATCGACATAATACTACAAAAACTCTTCGACTAGAAAAAGTAGAAAATTGATGCATACATTTTATAGCTACAAATAAAATTCTCAACAAACTACACAGATCTATTGTACAATTATAATAATACATCATCTGTCATACTTGAGACCAGTTGAAGTAAGTTTGCATCCAATCTTCGAGTATTTACGTGACAGTTTTCTATATTTTTCTTTTTATATTTTTGTATCAAAAAAGCGAACGGTTCACCTTCACCTGTTCCGAAAGTAATAAAAAGTACAAAGGCATGACAAATTGGGCTGTTTACTCTGGCGAGCGACGCAACCGGTGTCGACAATGACTCATTAGAAACCCAAGCGAATCTTAAATGATTTTGTGATTTTTGTCGTCAGTCCTCACATCGCGTGAGTCAGTAACTACGATAATATAAAAATCATAGAGATACTAGTTGTCGCCCGTGACTCCAACCGCGTGGCATAAATAAAATATAAGCCTCTGTGTTTTTCCAGACTATGTTGTACATCTATGCCAAATTTCAGCGAGATCCGTTGAGCCGTTCCGGAGATATCTTCAAAGAAACATCCATACATTCGCATTTATAATATTACTAAGAAGTAAAACCAACGCGATATATGTTTATTCTACTGATGCATATTGTTACTAAAACAAACAAACACACTTACATTCCGTCTGACATAATTATTGATTGTGCATCTATGATTCAGATGTGTATTAAAATCGCAAACATAATAAACTTTGCACTTTTATCCATCAATATAAAATAATATATTCATTAAAGGAAACAAAACCGACAAAAATAAGCATTCCACTTGACGGGGACATTGCCGCGCCCCCTAGATTACAAAGTAGAGAGTACTAACTTGAAAGGGGTTTCTCTGTTTTGTCAAAGATAATGGACATGGATGATAATTTATACAGAGAAACCCACGGCTAGTTTCGTGGATCTTGTAAATTTTAACGCAAGTGAGGCGCAACGTCAATCGTTATCACAACACGTATCATGATACCAAGCGATTTTGTATCAGATAATTTTACTTACATGTAATATAAATGCATAACACAATTTAAAAATTGATTCTCGATATTTCATTTCTTCAAGGCCACAACTATGTTATCCTGGTAATCTCTTCTAGCTGTTAATTTTCCTGTATGTAACTAACACAATACATATTACATTTGCACTCATACTTATTTGGCAGTCACTAAGGGAGACCCTAAGTACAGATTTAGACTAAGCAATTTACACTAAGCATTATTTAAGTAACGACTTTGAGTGCGGCAATTAGTGCTTGTGTAGTCACTGACTTACCGGAGATCCCATCATGGTGAACGTCTTCCCGCTGCCAGTCTGTCCGTACGCGAACACGCACGCGTTGTAGCCCTCGAATGCGCTGTCAATGACGTCCACACCCAGGTCAGAGAACACCTGGATAATGAACACAAGTTGTTGAACGTCATTCTAAACAAAATACTTAATAGCTCCATCTGTATCCTGCTATCCTGGTACAATTCTACAATTAGGGTTTAATAAACCTCTTTTAAATTATATTTACACAATTTATATTATAATAAGCAGTTTTATTTTATATGTATAGTTTTTCAACTTATTAAGTAAGATAAAGCTAAAAATAAAATACAACATTTTTAAGTTGTTTGTTTATTTTGATTGTATAATATTCACATTAAAATTTATTTATTGTTGCACTAAAATTAGTGAAATTAGCATTACCTTCCTGTACATTAAGTTTTAATCTTCCTTATACAGTAAACATAATCGGGATGTAAAAAGAACTAACTACCTATATACATTGCAAATTATAGTTCTGGAAATACTAATATAATTTTTTTCATTATAAAAAAATAATAGCATAGATATAAGAACACTAATATAAAGGTAAGATCGTAATCATTTAATTTTGCGTACGCCATATTCCCACCAAACGGAAACGAATTCGTACCGCACCTTATACGGCCGTGACGTCGCGGTGTCGTCATGGTCGGCCATCAGAACGCACTAAATACATACACGATACACTTTAATAGTATCCCATAAACTCACGTTTGGTTTGCGATCCCAAAAGACTACAAGATCTTAGTGAGCAGTTATTTTCAAAATCTGTTCAATCTTGCTAAGCTTGGTGTGTCTAAAGAAGTACCAGGACTACATAAAATACCTACATTGCCTAACTTTTTTTTTCTTCTTTAGAAGGTAACCAAACCGTTATTCTTTTCTTGTTAGAAATGTCATAAAACTGACTAATATGTCAAATTTTAAATCTAGCCGGTCGCAATTTTCTAATTGTTTTTTTTAATTTCTTATGAGGTGGAGATTATCTTGGAAAAATTTACATATGCATGTAATAAGAGATGTAAGTTAACACCGTGACCGAGTTAGTTTAATTCGCCGGATAGTGCATCTGATTCGAACTAACGCCCACGGGGTGACTGTAACAGTTCGCAGAGCTGTAGTCGGGATATTAAACAGGACAAACTGTTTATATTACTAAACTAACAGCGCACTCAGGTGTTCGATAAAAATAGCCCATTATCTTAGTTTCGGATGCACTTGTACGAGGAAAAATAAAAGTTAACTTTATACTCTAATACTGGAAACTAGTAATATAACATGAAAACTAAATCACTATTATGGCGCGAATAGGCAGAAATTATTAACCCTAATTAACTGTCACATAGATACTAACCGTGAGTTTCTGAGACCAAAATATTCGTTTTGTCAAGAGATTTTGGCCTCACAATACTACCGTACCGTAAGTAACTAAGGAATATCCTTAGCGTAGATTTAGTATTTAACAACTTGGCAATAATACGCTTTATAAGATTAGTAAAGACGGTTGATGGCTTGGTTTATGATAACTATCTTACTTTGATTGCGAGACATCATGACATACAGATATGTGAACAATAGTAGACACGATGACGTAGACAGACAAATAGTTTATGCGCCAGTGATCACCCATCCTATTGTGTTACAACTTATATTCTGTTAGAATTTTATACAAATTGTTTATACTTTGCATTCATAACTAGCTGACGAGACGCCGTAAGGCGCAGAATTTAAAAAAAATAAGTAGCATGTCTTCTTCTATACTATGTTCTACATCTATGTCAAACTTCATCAATAGACCTTCTAACAAACATCCATCCAAACATTCGCAATTATAATATTAGTAAGATACTGTAATGAAGAAAAACACTTTGCCGGTGTACTGGCCCTGGCCGTACCAAAATGTCGACGTCTATGTCCCCTCACTAATCATTCTGCAATTTAAGCTCAATGTAAGCGCGTCATTCGCGCCAAAGGATTGTAATTAATAATGTTTAAATATAGTAAAAAGCAAGATTTTTTTTCACTTAGAACCCAAACACACTAGAAACTTTTAATCGCCTGATAATTTGATCCTCTGCTTATTCAGTACAAGTATGTATTGAGATGCCCAAATTAAACCGATTACATTCTCATATTAATCAAGCGCACGATCTACGAGCGACTAAAAGTCTTGTGTGCGGGGGCTCTAATAAGAATAGACTATTTCAAAAAGGTTTTATATATATCACTGGCTGATGACAAAGTGATAGCTTTATAATTTTTAAAACGATATAATAATCAGTTGCGACGTAATCGCGTCTCATATATAACGTTTCTATACGCATACAAATCACTTATTTAATATATAGCCACTATCTATATGCATATAGAGGATCGAATGTTTAACATTTAAATAGCAGCTAGACTGACTCATTTCATTTCACGGTCACATCAACAATATAGGCAAACGGAGCATTTTCCCACGATTTATTTTTACTAGCTGAGTATAAAATTAGTTAAATTACGAAAAACTTTGATATCAGATAGTTGAAGACGATTTAAACATTCAGCTGTTTATCGTAAACACGTTTTGATAGTATATTTAAATGACAATACTAATTGCTTTCTTATCTACAAAATACTTGCGATATTTTTAATTAAAATAGGAAGTGAATTTGAATACTTTTGATCTGATGACCGTTTAACATTAATATTTCAAAGCGATTGGATGAATCCGACTACGGAAGAGTTTCAAATAACATTGGTTTAAAGTGCAAATATTTCTTTTTTTAAGATTTAGATTATAAGGCGAAAAACGAGGGAAGCGGCTACCGTCATAGATATTTGCAATTGCAGATGCGTTGCCTACCTACCGGAGTAGACGCACAGAAATTTCTACTTCCACCATCGTCCCCTTCCCATCATCATCATCAGCTCACTATACATCCCCTAAGTGACTAGGGCTTGACTTCACACATATTTTTGAATTTCTTCTCAGATATGTGCAGGTTGCATCACGATGTTTTCCTTCACCGTAAGAACGGATGAATGTACACATGTAAATCGGAAATCGAAAAACACATTGGTACGTTGCGGGATTCAAACCCAAGACCTGCAGATTACAAGTCAAGTGTTGAAACCCTTGAGCCACCGACGCTCTATTCCCTTTCCTTTCCATATTAGAGTGGAAAGAGATAAAGGATTGTGTTTCATTGTTACCTGTTCCTGTGAGGCGTAGTGACTGTCCCCATGGTCGAAGGACCAGTAGGAGTGATCGAATGTAAAATCCTTGTACTTCTCACGGCTGCCATCGTTTTGCTCTTTGCTATTCTGTGAACAAAAATATCACGTTATATACGAAAATCTAAAAATATTATAAAAATCAAAGATTTGATTGTTTTTGAATAGGGTAGGAAAATACTGAACCGATTTTAAAAATTTCACACTCTCACTGTTGGGAAGCTACTCTATCCTCAGGTGATATTAGGCGATATTATTAGGTTTTTTTATTCGTTTTTTTTTTATAATTCAAAGAACGAAGTCGCGGGATGTTGCTAGTCCTAAGATATAACATAAAAGATAGTTTATCTTGAGTGATGAAAATATCTAAATCTATTGCTCCACTTTTCACCAAGGAATCTTACTAATATTAAAAATACGAATGTTTGGATGGATGGATGGAATGCATAGATCTCGCTGAAATTTTGCAAAGACATACAACATAGTCTGGAAGAACACAAACGCTACTTACTAAATTTTTGTAATTCCGTGCGGACGGAGTCGCGGGCAACAGCTAATAAACTATAAATACTAAAACCCAGCTGAACATACAATACGTAACAGTAACTTGACCTTCATACATTTTTAGTGCACAACGAAAACATGTCACGTTTGCACAAACGGACAAATTGTATTAAACTACGGTGGTTACAATTTACAATCGTTATGAATTCCTAATGTTATTATTTTTAGAAAAGGGATGCTTGGATTGAAATACATTATATGAGTTGTTTTCATTGAATACTTATTCAAATTGATTCAATCGATTTTTCCCGTTTTGCCGATGATCAGAAGACCAATCGGTCCAAAGGGAAACACCCATTGCCCTTAAAAAAAACTCGGAAATGCGTTAAGCAATGATGTTGTCAGTTGTTACCACCGCATCGATACGTGTTATATAAATAAGATAAATATTGCTTTAAATATGCTGGTGCACTTAAATTTTACTTTATTTTGCATCGGTTGTTAACCCTTGCCGGTCCGGTTACATTTTGGTTAAAGGTTTTGTGATAAACAAAATTAATTAGGGCTAAAAGCCTCATCACAAGATAAACCCAAAATATTGAGGTGGAACACGGAAACATAGTAACATTTTACCTAATGTCCATAATTTCAATTACACCTACAAATTAAACCAGTGCTTTTAGATTTGTAGAACGCAAAGCTGTCTGTGGCGAATCTTATGTCATTTAGTAGCATTGTTTTTTTTTATTTCATCCGGTCATGGTTCGCGAAATAATTTTAAATATCGAAGGAGTTTCGTCATGAAATTAAAAAAAACAATGGCATAGAGAAGCGTTGTACAACGCGTTGATGGCGTCACAATACGTAGCGAGCATCGTATGTTTACTACGTCACTCATTGTCCGTAGGGCGGAAGCTTTTATACCATAATTTGTATATTAAATTCTATTTAAAGAATATAAAAATGAGCTACAGTTATTCTTAACATCTACTGCTCTCTTTAAAAATAATGAGTCATTTTATTTTTTTTAATTTTATCAGTTGAAATACACAGTATAAAGAAAATAGTTGTCGCCCGCGACTCTGCCCGCGCGGATTAAAAAAAAAAAACTAGGCTAGGCTATGTTCTACATTTCAGCGCGTCGCGTCGAGCCGTTTTGGTGATACCTTCAAACAAACGTCCATCCATCCACCTAAACATTCGGATTTATAATATTAATAAGATAAAAAAAATGTCTTATACTCGTCGCCTTGATTCTTAATCACTTAATCTTTAAAATATTCATCGTATTAGGAAGCAGTTTTTTTTTTTACTAAATCTGAGATAAATAACATTAAAATAACTAGTATAAGAAAAAATATGAAAAAATTTATTCCATGATTATTTTACTGGGTAGTTGTTAAGCCGATTTTATCTTAAATTTGAATAATATAAATGCGAATATTTAAATGGATGGATGGATGTTTGTTACAAGGTATCTCCAGAACGGCTGCATGAGTATCGTAGATGTAGAACATAGTCTGGAAGAACTCATAGTTAAGTTTTTATTTATCCTGCACGGACGAAGTCGTGTGTGACAGCTAGTAATCACTAATATTAAAAATATTATACTAATAATTTGTTAAACCATATTTTATTGGAACATAAAAAACATAATTTATTTACATACATATTAATATAGCACAATAAAATTGACAAGGAAGTAATTAAAGAAAAGGTTGTTCAACTGCAAGTGGACTGAACACTCGGACGCACACAAAGGTCACTGCATGAATAACTACCAAATAATCACATGTCACAACTAAAATCAGGAAAGAAAATATTACTGTTAATATTCTAACACATTCAATGGTACAATGATTTTTAAATTATTTTTTTTTTTATATCATAAGGTGGCAAACGAGCGAGCGGCCACCTGAAATCGCTGAAGTAGCGAAGTGACCGTTGCCCATAGACATACGCAATTGCATATGCGTTGCCTACCTTTCATCGTCGGAGGAGAGGTGGCACAGAAAGAAAATATTTTCCCTTTCCATGCATCCTCTCATCCAGAAAGTCCACTTCCACTTCCCATCCTTCCCTTATAAGAAAATGGTGGGAAGGGAAAGAGGACTAAATTAGGCCTCCGAGACGCACACTCATCAGACGAAACGCGGAATTTCTTCCACTTCACGCCTGTTTTCTGTGTGGTGGTGGTATTTCACCGGGCGAACCTGGCCAATTCGTGCGAAGATGTTAAAGCAGGTTCTACCACTCTTAAATAGTAAAGTAGACATTTTAAATGAGCTTCGGTGGCTCAGGGGTTATTGACTTGCAATATGCAGGTCCTGGGTTTGAGTCCCGCCATGTACCAATGTATTTGATTATCAATTTAAATATGAACATTAGTAGAGACATATAGTAAGCTGATAGTAATTTGACTCGTAGGATAAAGTAGCAGTCAATGTGTTAATATGAGTATATAATTTAACATTTGCATTTTATAAAACAATTTTAGTTAAATTAAATTAAAATTAGAATATATATTACAAAAATACATATTATATAATAATTATGAAGCTGAATATGCTAGAGTGTAAGGGAACGCAATTAGAAATATTCATCATCATCAGCTCACTGTACGTCTCCACCGAGGGGCTCGGAGCCTTCCCTAAGTTAACGGTGATTAGCCCATAGTCAACCACGCTGGCCCAGGGCGGGTTGGTTGACTTTACATATATACAGGTCGCATCACGATGTTTTCCTTCACCGTAAGAACATCGGATAAATGTATAATACATATGTAAATCGGAAATGGAAAAACACATTGGTACATGGCGGGATTCGAACCCAGGACCTGCAGATTGCAAGTCAAGTGCTTGACCCCTGAGCCACTGACACTCTCAATTAGAAATATTATGAAGCTGTATTAAAAATAATAACTTACTTTTACAGTTAGGAGTCTTGTCTTTTTGCCATCCATTTGAACAATGAGTTTGGCATTCATGTCCTTCTCCCTGCAATAAAAAAATGGGATGAATTTCATTAAACAATAACTGTTACAATAATTTCTAACACTAACCGCTACATGTTTTTATCTGCAAAAGAGATCGCTTTTTATTGCACATACTTTTTTAATGCTTGAAAATAAATGTTTGATAGTAACATAAAAAGAAAAATCAGAAAATGTATGTCAAAATAACTTAACAGATGGAAGAGTTTTTTTATTTTTGTTTACTAAACTTAAATACACAATTTTGTAGTAAACATGTAATTTTCATTTTAATCTTGATAATTCATATTTTAAGCAGGATATGATTATCTGTGTTTTACAACACACTGTCTGATTAAATATCATTTCTAAAATCTTATATGAAGTAACCATTTGTAATATCAATTGAGAAAGAAAAAAGTTGTTTGTAGCATATGACAATCTTGATACCCAATGTAAACGCCCAGACATTTGTTAGTAAACAAAAGGAAATAAACACATTGCATAAAAACAACATGCTCAAGCAAAATTCAACCTTATATAGATTTTAGTTCTTTGCAACTGGGTCATTATCTTTTTGCATTTTTTTGGCAACTTTCATTTAAATGATCTGCCGAAGTACAGTTCGCGCTCCAAATGCACTCCAACCGTGAAAGTCATTGCCGTTCTTCATGACATCATACACTTTTTGCACTTTCAAAAATCTAATAAACGAATTTACAACCCTTGTTTTATTACCATAAATATCTCATTTAACTACAATACATTATTGCTTTGGTTATTACGAGTTCTATTATTGTATTTTATTTGTATTGGTGTGCAATACATAAAAATGTATTGTCTGGGTTTATTACAAATACATTTTAAGTCTAAAATTATTCGATAACAATAATATTATCTACTTACCTTTGATTGAATGGGCGAACCCTTACAGCTACTTTCACCGATGCCATTATCACACATTATATTGTAAAAAAATAAGATATTTTTAAAAATTACATCTAATACAAATGCGACTCTACAAAACGAGTTGACATTTTATTTATCCAATTGACAGCAGACAAACGACAGACAATTGTTCACCGTTCGTCGAATCTTCGAAAGTTCAAAATAGTCACTCCAACTCACTCAATCGAACGCACTTATCTCTATATATGATATGGATAGGTTGTTGTTTGACGATGACAGTTTTACTTCGTTCCGAATTAAACACACTCGACGATTTTAACTGTTTGTCCTTTTCCTTTTATGAGTTCTGACATCAGATAAAGAATAGTTGCAAAAATATGTCTTTTACCTAGGCTATGTTGGTCACGACTACCGATAGCGCCAACATGGCTAAAATCAAATGAGCACACAATACCACGGGTCATCGCCTATCCATGTTTCGACGTTAGTGAGCGAACGTAAATAACTTTGACAAGAAAGTGTTCCTATATGCAAGAAGTTAATATAAAATAAAACAACTAAAAACCGAACGGTTGTGTTTGTAATTTTCTTCAGATAGAATATTTATGTTATCACACGTTAAGTAAGTGAAAAATTTGAATTTTTTTGTTTGCGGAATTTAAAGCTCTGTCTTTTTGTACATTACTATTATCTCGCACATCTGATCTGATCTTGTAATGTCGGTACTTGCAACCAACAAACGAAAAAAAAAAGCGACAAATGAGGATAAGATTTGTTTCTATAAGCTGTTAGTAGGATTCATCTGAGTTTTTCTCTAAAAAATACGTAAGGTTTAGATTGAAGGCATAGAAATTTTTTAAATCGCTTTCCTTTCATCTTATGAAGGATGGTGGCGGTAGTGTGTGGTAAAAAATATTATCGTTTCGCCAATCACGCGACAACACTACTTCAACTTGACAAGTTGATATTCTGTTCTGTTTGCCGATTTATCATTATCTGTGGTGGTTGTAATCTTGAAAAGAAATACAGGTTAGATTTTATTTAATAAAATTATTTAATGTACAAATTACTTTAGAATTGTAATAACGGCATTAATAATACCAATTCATTTTTATGTATTACTTAGAGATAGTATAATGTTCTACAAATTTGTTTTACGAACAATTCATTTATTACATAATAACTTTATTTTTCATTTTCAGCATTCTATCAGCAACCATGGCTGATGCTCCGCGCCGCCCTATGAAGTTCCCTTATACATTTTCGGCAAAGATTGCGCAGTTCCCCATCAAACATTATCTGCAGAACCAATGGATCTGGCGTTACTGGTTTATTGGAATTGGTGTTTCTCTGCCAATCTTCTACAAGATCCACAAGATGGGTAAGAACATTTTTTTACTAACTATAACGATATAAAATATTCCAATTTTGAATTATAAACTGAATGCAGTATGTTGACCATTGCCCAAGAAACATGCAAGTACAAAGTTCTATGTAAAATCATTTCTTGTTGCTAATATATAATGGAGTATGTACTGTAAAACAACTTAGTGTAATTCCAATCAGTAATTGCAAATATTGAACTGATAGATACCTATTATTTCTTTCATACTTTCATTCATGGTGATGTCATTTACCACCACTTTAATTGCAACTAGCACTATGTAAAAAAAATTATCAACAGCTTGCAAAAGTCCACTGCTTGATGTAGATGAAGTCAAGAACTAAACCAATAAATAGAATTATATCTGCGGTTCCTCTGGTATTGCTGATATCCATGGGCGTCGTTGAACACCTCGGTGTTCCCGCTGCTCATTTGCCCCCTTCTGTTATAAAAAATATATATATATCACTTATTTGTTACAGCGAACTCTCCTGAGAATGTTAGCAAGTGGGCCGAGATCAGGAGGAAGGAGGCTGCTGAACACCATCACTGAGCACTGGAGGGCCAAGTTGCAATTTAAAACAGTACCATTTATGTTTTAAGAATTAAATTAAATCATGTTCTAGTTCAATATTCGTTTTCTTTTTTTAAATTTTAACAACCAAACCAAATTGTGAACAATATTTAATGTAGGGGGAAACATAAGCATGTTGCATAAATAATAGTAAATATTATTTTAAAAGTAGTTGTTTTACTGACCCTACTATTTGTTGCGGTTGAGGTCATTCTTTTATAAGTGTAGGTAAATAAAAAAAAAAAGTGTTTTACTTTGATGGTGCTTTATTGACTACAAATATAAATTATTATCAAACTTATAAATTACAAAATAAATATTCGCTGGCAAACAATGACTGATTACTTGAAAAAAACTGGAGAAGTTGACATCTAATAAAGGAATGCAATTTGATCGCAGCTCCGATTACATCAAGGTCACAATATATTTCACATTTTTTAATACAAAATGGCATATTTCAAGTAAAACTACCTGAGCATAGCTTGAAATAAAGAATACAATCATTAATAATTAGATATTGGGCTTATATAATGAGGTTTTTAAAGTATAGGCTCGCCAAGAATACGAGAATCTTCCCAAGGTCAGTTCAAAGACATTTATCACATCACTCTCTAAGCAAATTTAGTTGCATATGTGCAATATGGCGAGGTTTTTATATTCCCGGTTGAACTAATAAAAACAAGTAAATTACACATTACAATTGTACTAACAAAAGAGAATTAAAACTCAATGCATCTATATGGAACTGTTAATGTTGCCTTTGGCCAAGTTTCACTAAGATGTTTATTAAAAAACATAATAATACTAAAATAAAATATATTCAGTTTTGATACAAAAAAAAAAGAAATTTACCTTAGTTACTGTCAAATAGCATCCATTTCAAGTCAAAAAAAACAAAACAGATCCAGTTAAAAGAAAACACCGATATTTCAAAATTGACAATTTTCACAACTTAAACTAAATCTAAACTAGTTATATAAAACGTGAGCAGTACATACAATTAAATGAGGTCCAAAAACTAAATGCACAGAAACAATGTCAATGCTTCCACTTCATCTATAAAATGTGCTATTATATAAAAAAATTGACAAATATTTTTTGCAATGCACAAAAGGGCATATACAATAGGTACTTTTCTCATGATGCAATTAATTTTCAACTTATTGAGCGGTTCATCAAGTATCAAATTGTTTTAATCAATTAATATGACAATATTTGATGGCTATATGTTTGAAATATGATTATTTGCATGGAAAATTACATTTACAGTACAAATATAGATTAAATTCAATATGTGCATACTTCAAGCTCCAAAATCTCATAGCATGCAGCATACTTGAAGTTAACATTTTAATTTCTTGTCCAAATATTTATCTTATTAACTTGTTATGACTAAGTTATTGTGAATTGACTCCGGCAACAGGCACTTTCTGTGGTCAATTTGAACACACCATTAGAGTATTTATTTCCTAATCTAATTAAAAAAATAATATTTACACTTAAAATTTAGTGGAATATTTAAAGATTCTAATTAAATTTGTATTTTTCGCTTTGGTTGTATTTTTTACATATACAGCGTGTTTTGTAACGCAAAATTGCTGTTTACATTTTTATTTTTTCTAACAAAAATGGTGTGTTATTTTTTGTGTTTATATTCTTTAATATTGTCAATACGCTCTAATTTGTGCATTTAAATTTTTTAAACAAAAACTGTTTTTTACACTTGTCTTTTTATCACGACAAACGTAACTTTATATATTAAAAAAAAAACAAAAATTAAATATTTTTTTATCAATCAACATCAATTTCGCAATTCAAGTATTTTATATTAAGTAAAAAAAAAACATAAATCAATTTTTATTATTTTGGAAAGTACAAAAAATCGTCATATTACCTTTAGCTCAAAATTTTCAATAATTAAGTAAAAACAAAAACAATGTAAGGTTCACAAATTATTCTATTCAAGTGGGTATACTTTCAAATTCATTCTAATACCTGTTTATTATGCAAGACCACAGCCATATGTTTGTATTTGTCCAAATTTTGGATCATCAAAATTAATTTGACAGTATTTCAATTTTGTGACATTCCTCAGCACAGATAAAAAAAACATAATTTTATCAAATCACTTCTTCAAAACGACAATTTATCATGTAAATACCAAATTATACAATAAAATAACCTTGCAAAATAATCACAACATATATAAAGCTAGGGTCATAAATAAATACATTAACAAAATAAGTTTACTACTAATGTGTTTTTCATATTGTTGTTTGTTTGAAATCAGCAATAATATAACATCCGTCTGCTATTGAAAAACGAGACAGCTTTGAATTTATCAGAGGATAACCATTGGAAGTCTTTGTAAAAACCAATCCAAACAAAACAAGACGGCAACTTAATAAATACATCACCAATCTGATTCATCACACCAATCTTTCATTTCAATCACAAACACCATCACTAAACACTGTCAGTACACCACATTGTCTGTAAGATGGGACCATTTATGTCACTTTAGTTTTGCTCGCTTCGTTTTGGAGTCCTCATCAATTTCATCTTGATACTTCCTCTTGACTGGTTCTTCTACTTCTTCATCAAGTACTGTTGGTGGTAGAGGTGGCAGGTCTAGTTCTGTGCAGCGCTTTATCAGATACTTCTCTAGTCGGTAGCCAGCTCTGGAAGATAATGTCAGTATTGGTATAACAAAAGAAAATGTTCTTTGATAAATTTTGGATGAGTGTGTGTTCCAGAGGACTAATATGAAAGTGGATTTGATGGAGGGCGCATACAAAGGGAAAATATAATATTTTCATTATGTGCATATCCTCCTCTGTCAATTAAAGGAAGGCAACGCATCTACAATTGCGGATGGGTATGGGCAGCGGACACCTCGCCATTTCGGCGACTTCAGATGGCCGCATGCGTACATAATCCAGTTATTGTGTGTACATACTTGGCGACAGGATGCGTGTCCTTGTTGTAAGTGAAGCAGTTGTAGAAGACGAGGGCGACGTCTGCCAGCAGGTCTGTGTCTGCCGCGTACTGTCCTTCACTCAGTTTCTCCCGCACTAGAGTTAAGTCCATGGGCTCGTTGATCACGTCAAGGTAATCTGGCACCTGGTTATAACAGTCACTATGTTATAATTATTATTTTCTAATATTGACTATAATAATTGTAATTAAGCTGTTTAATTACTAGTGTATAAAAAACATTGTGTATATTAAAAAAAATAGTGTATATAAAAATTGAATAACTAAATGAGGTATATAATATCGAGCTTACTGTTGGTTTCCGAGACCAAAATCACCGTATAAAACATACCGTCATCCCAGTCTTTCGTCTTTGACAAAACAGAGATGACAATATATCTTATACGGGTATTTTGGTATCAGAAATCCACAATTAGACTGTAAGTTTATATGTAACTTACGTCTTCAGTGGAAACAGGGTCTAAGAAGGGCCATGCGTCTTTGTGCTTCATGGCATCATGCAGCAGCGTCTCCAGCTTGTCTGTGTGCAAGCTGACTGAGGGTTCACGGCGACTGGACCTCTTCCTTAAAACTGTTTCTTCTGCAATACATTATTACCAAGGTAGAGAAATTCTCAGCAGTAAAAATTCAAGATAGAATTTATCAACTCACCGTGATGACCATTAGTGAGTGATTTAGACTTTCTGCCAGGTGTACCGTTCAACAGATTTTTAGGCCTGTAAAAGTTTAAATTTGTAAATATAGATAGTTTTAATATTCCATACTAATATTATAAATATGAAAGATTTGTTTGATTGAATTAAATAAGCTCCAAAACTACTGGACCAATTTGAAAAAAAAAATCCTCTGTTGGGACACTACACTATCCCCAAGGTAATACAGATGATCCTACTGATATTAGAAATGCGAATGTTTGGACGGATGGGTGTTTGTTAGAAGGTATCTATAGAACGGCTGCATGGATTTTGCTAAAACTTGGCATAGATGTAGAACATAGTCTGGAAGAACACATATGTTACTAATTAAGTTTCTGGGGTAGTATAAATATAATTTTGTATTGAACTCACTTGCGCCCTCTCTTAGCGCCATTTGGTACCGGTGATTCATCTTTACTGCTCCGCGAGTTACGTTTTTTCAGTTTGACCAATGCTGTGTTATATTCACTATCTTCAGAATCTAAAACAAGAGTAATAAGTAAATATTTGTATTTATGTTTGATTATAAAAATATCAAGCTAATTAGCAGAAATGAAAATGATAAAAAACAGTGCGCGATAGTAAATGCAACGCCACCCAAAAACAACAATTTATTGAGAAGCAGTGACAAAATTTTCAAACACTGGAGTATTTCATTGTCTTGTAAAAACACTATGTTAGTATTCATAATATATCCAAAATTAAAGAACAATTAAGAAATTTAAATTTCCACCGTGTACTTTTATTCCACATCACAGACTTTAGAAATAACAAATATTTTTCATCTCTGTTCACACCACAATATTTAGTAAAACATTTAATCCTTATCAATTGTGATAGCTTCTACTTTGCTTTTACGTAGCTAGCAAATAAATCAACAATGCAACAAAAAATTGCAAAAGAAAATAAAACCATAGCAACCAAAAATGAAGAAAAGAAATGGACCCAAAAGCAGAGACTTTGGACATTCCATGAAGGTGATCAAACCAAAAGAGGGTAAGTAGGCGTGAAGCAATTGTTTTAGAGAAAAGGTGTCTTAGTGAAGGGTTATTATGATTGAAAATAAAAAGGGTAGATAGGGATGTATTATACAATTCAAACTTTATAGCGGCTCGAGTATACAAGTGCGTATCTTTGCAGGTCGGCCAACTGTGAAATAAAGGCATATCCTCGTGTGTTCTCCATACTTATATCCTCTTACATCCTGCTGTGACCTAATATTGTAGTGTTCACAGCCAACAACTTAACTTACACCCATAACCAAAAAAGGATAAGCAGAGATTACAGACATTTGAAACGATTCTAATACACCTTCACTACTTCCACCTTCATACATCATCGCATAGAATGTCGCTTTCGGGTGCTCCTAATACAATGTTCCTTATTGCGCAGTGTCATGAAGCAAAATTGTGAGCGGCCTTAAAGTTTGAATGGTACTATACTTATTAGTAGGGGTTGTAGAGGAAGGGGTAGGGATTATGGGGTGATGTCTTATGATGTGACAAACCCGAGGTATCCACCGGCGCGTCAAGCACTCGCGCGTACTCGTGGATGTTGTTGATCGCGGTCGCCGCGCACCGACGTACAGTGTGCTCTTTACATATAATAAATTATTACTAAATCAGACCCTTAGTGTAGATTACTTATAGTAAAGCACTCCGTATTCTTGACTTATATGCTCTATCTAACTTAACTTTACAATTAACCGTGGCTTTCTGAGACCACAATATCTTATTATTAAGACTTTTTAATAACATGTTATCTATATTATCTCAAAGGTTTGTACATATATTTTGACTTCAAAAACCCACGGTAATTTAATTGTTATCACAAACAAAACTCAATCATATTTTTTAAGACCAAAGCACCTGAAGCGCTCTTATAAAGTTCATGTTGCTGCAAAATTCCAATTTAAATACCCATTACATTTACAGATATGTATATCTGTTTACCTCTACGTGATCCATTACTGGAGCAAGTGTTGCAGAGTGCTCGCCGCTGTGAGACGCACTCCGCGTGACACCTGGCGCCGCACGCCCGGCACGTGGCCCCCAGCCTGCCCCCGCTCCCGCACGCCCCGCACACTGACCCCCACTCCAGTCTCGCCCCGCCCACCTCGCCCAACTCGCCCTCCGCCACGCCCACACTGACACAACACACATCTCTATTATGCTTTTCATTATTTATTTCCTACTCAAAATCTGCCAAATCTTACTAATATTATAAATGCGAATATTTGGATGTATAGATGTTTGTTAGAAGGTATCTCGAGAACGGCTGTATGGATCTCGCTGAAATTTGGCATACATATAAGTCACAGTCTGGAAGAACAGGTAGGCTAATAATTATTATAGATTTTTTTTAAATTTCGCAAGTAGTCGCGGGCGACAGCTAGTTATTAAAAAAAACACCAATTTTTTTTGTAACAATGTGATTCTAATATCACTTTTCAATAAAGCGACTGCTCACCTGTCGTCAAGGTCATCTTCAAGGTCATCGTCACTGAACAACTTCCTCTTTCTCCTCGGCGTCTTCTCTCTCGGCCGGCACTGGTCACAGAACCAGTCGCCGTCAGGTACTTTCTGCAAATAATTATAAGATAAGACCTACATATATAACTTTGCAAAATTAACAAAATACAAAAAAGTTATTTCGTAACACTAGCATTTTGCATTTCTCCTAAATTATTACTTAAAAATAAGCTTAACTAATTCATAATAGTAAATATAAATATAAATGCAAGCAAATAACTATAAAAAAAATCTCACACATTTCACTAATTACAACTCACCCTCGCCCCTAACATACACTGGACGCATGAAATTGACAAAATACATTAAAACATTGCACTCAAAATCAAGTATAAAGGTTTTCAAATATCTTGGCGGCTCGGAACATCGACCTTGAGCCGCCAACATATTTGAAATGAAGTATACACGGCTTTTGAGGGTAAGTAATAAATAAATTAAACAAACCGATAGTTTAGGCTTGAGGCAGTATAAATGATGTCCCTTATTGCATCCGTCGCAGAGCAGCATATTATCAGGGTCGGTCTTTCTACGGCAGATCCTGCAGCTGGCATTTAGTATACTTGCTGACCAGGTGATGCTGGAGTCCAGGGTCAGGAGGTGAAGGACAACTTGTGCGAAGCTCCTGCACTCCATTAGAGACACCTCCCATCTCTCCAGCGCTTCCAGGTCGAGTGGCTTGTTCTTTGCTTCACGATCTTTACGCTCTTTGTCGTCTAAACCTGCGAGAGACAGAATTTTCTTAAACTAATGTTAAATACTTTAGGATTATTATTCAAATATAATATGTCGGAGAATTGTTATGAATATGATCCTTAAAAATAATTTGGAGATAGAAATGGTACCAGTGCTCCAAATGAATTTGAAATAGTGACTCGTACGATGTTCCGAATCGCCAAGATGTTTGAATATAACTTACCTAGAGGTCTTTTCAGGTACTTATGGTGTATAGCCTGGGAGACCTGCAGCAGCGCGCAGGCCAGACCGCGCACTACCTCGGCACTTGGCTCCCGTGTCTCCTCATGCCCATTCTTGACTCCGTTCACCCTTGGAGCATCTAAGTAGTGTCCAGGGTCACGGTATCTGTTTATTGGTATCGCTTCCATTTCTTCTTTGTCTACATCTGTAAATAATATTTTGTTTTTAACATACTAGCTGTCGCCTGCGACTCAGTCTGCTCGGGATTAAAAAATACTCAATTAGTAGCCTATGTATTCTTCGAGGGTATATTGTACATCTATGCCAAATATCAGCAAGATTCATGCAGACCTTTTGCAGATACCTTCTAATAAACATCCATTCATCTATGTAAACTTAAGATAACTCACCGTTAGGTAATTTGAGCACGCCATTAGGCTGATGATAGTCGTCCCTGTACTTCTGTCCAGGTCCCCAGGTGAGGTACTCCGCCTGCTTGTCGTATCCCTTCAGCATCAGCGTGCCGCGCCACGCCTCGCGGTCCTAACAATTACATTCTCATATAATTACCATAATTACTTTGTTTTTTAGAGTAATTTCATATAGCGTAGATTTCTTTATCGTAGGTTTCCGAGACCAAAATATCTGTTTAAAAAAATATAGAGCCATCCCATCATATCTGACAAAACTTAGAACAACAAACGGAGATTTTGGCCTCAGAAAACCACGATAACTATTATAGAACCAAGAAGGTTTTTTAATATATTATTTTTATTATCTAATTTGAAATTAATTGCGAGCTAAGGAAGTTTCTAGGAAACTTGACAACTATCAGTAGTAAGGTAGTTATAATTCTTACCTTAACTTTAAGCGCTCCTAAACATCCATGGAAGATCTTCTCCTCCAGCTCCAGTATGTGGTCCCGCAGAGACAGTTCGAGTGCCTCGCTGAGCGACGTGTCCGCGGGCACGCTCAGCGACGGCTGCCAGCGTCGCCGCGTCATGTGCTGCGACGGCTGAGCAGGAGGCTGCACAAAACGTCATATAACGGCTTATTTCTCACTATTTTTTTTTGTTTAATTCCACAATTTGTTGTTGAACGAAAAATTGACTGATATTTACAGAATAAAACCTATTTAACGTTTTTCAAGGCTAAAGGTTAAGCTAAAAAGGTGCATTAGCTTTTAGCCTTGAAAAATTTGATATAGATTAAATTTAGCTTAACTAAAAGTTCTTGTATGTCTACAGCCTAAGCTGATTTTCTCGAGCGTTGTAGGGAAATTTAGTCGGGCATTTTTTCTAATTGTAAGTACAACTTACAGGTGCGACAGTAGGATTGAGCAGATGTAGCGGACAGCTGGCGACGTGCGTGAGGAGATGCGCGCCGTCCTGCTCGAGGCCGTGTCTCAGCTCGTTCTCGCGCAGACCTCGCTTATTGAGTGCCGCCAAAAGTGCACCAATTTGCTCCTCCGTATGGTACACTGACCAGTGTGGCCGGTCCACCTGTAACACCGTTAACGTCTTATTAATTATTAACATCGACAGATTATAAAATGACTGAACCTTGGAAATTTTCAAATTGTAAACTAAATGTATATAGAAGTATGTATGTATGTATATAGAAATCGTATTTACCTAGTCAATTTTTATATCGACTAAGTTTAAAGTTGTTAAAATTGTTTTAAGAGATGTTAATTATTAGTTCATGTTATTTTCTTGTTTAATATTGACCTTGCCATGTACATAGCACGTGTTGATATCAGAAGTGCACAACATGAGTTCCCTGGCTCGCTGCAGTGCGTGCGCGTTCGCCGGGGCCCCGCCCTCCGCCCCGCCCACCTTCACGCCTACGCCGTTGACGTACGGCTTCTTTGGTGAGCCGCGAAGATTTGCCGCCGATTCGTTCTCTTTGTCACTTCCAGCTGGAAATATATTTTAACAATTTTAATATTAGTGTCGTTTATTTTGCTATATAAGCAAAAATTAAAAATAAACAAAAATATTTTTGTTCACCTAAGCAATAATTCACTACATTTTTAACTGCGTAATTTGGATTTCTTGTTACTAACGCCTATAACTTCTTAGAATTAAGATTGTCAGTATTTTGGTATAGTACAGACCTCGTTCCTCCCTCATGAGATGCGGACTGGACAGCTTGTGCCTGCAGAGGCCGCGTTCCTCATCACCAGCTTCCACGAACAAGCCGCCCACGCGCCGCATCACCCAGTAGCGGCGGTACGCGCGGTCCATACCTACAAAATATTTATTTATATTATTGTGCACCAGGTGTCGCATGCGACTCCGTCCTCGCGGTATTAAATAAAACATAATCAGTTGCCTATGTGTTTTTCCAGACTATGTTCTACATCTGTGCCACATTTAATGAAAATCCATCCATCTAAATTTTTTTTGCATTTATAATATTAGTAAGATAATAAGATATTAATTTGATGTAATTTCAAATAATTACGACAGATTTAACGACACTCACCAACATAAGAAGTGTACTTAAAGAGAGACAGCTGTAACTCTTTGAGTTTCTTCTCATATTCATGTTTTTTAACTTCACTCTTTTTATTTAACTTCTCTATAGATATCTTGAGTTGTTCGTCTATCACTTTGGCTTGATCTCCTGACAACTTCTGTTCCGTTTTTGTGGCTTGAGCTTCCTTCTTTAACTCCTGACGTGTTGCTACTAATTGTACTTCGCGTTTACGTTCATTTATCTAGAAATTAATTTAAAAAATATTAATAAAAAAATATTACGTAATATTTGGTAAATGATCAAATAATTTTTGTATTCCGTTTGATAAAAAGTATTTAAACTTATTTTCGGATTAATTCCAAAGATTAAATATTGGGGTCTTATCGTAAATTTGTAAGAACATTTCATACCTGCAGCATCCTTAGTGACTGTTTGGTAATCTTGTACTCCTCGAGGCGCTCTTCAGTGATGTCACGCACGGTTGCGTAACTCAGCACTTGGTTCATGAGGCATTGCAGGATAAGAAACTTGTCCTCTGCAAGTATCAAATATAAAGAAAACCACTATTTAAAAATCACCATTTTACTAACTTATATTAAATTCATTCAATGAATCAAGTTTTATATATGAAACTTTAAGCGATAATCCGACTCAAAGGACCAAAAAGCTAAATATTCATTGTTTTCTCCGTCTTGAGGAGCCACTCCGAATAACGAAGGTTGGCGATCAGATTTCCATATTTTATTTTGTTTCTAGCAGGCGAAACAATAAGGCCGCCTGCCATTGATTTCTCGTACTAAAAGTTGTTTTAGTTAACTAGCCTGTTAGTTTTAATATCTTACTATGGGACGCGTTTAGTTACCAATTAACGTCTCTGTGTCCGACAATAAGATAAGCTTTAGGTGAAACAATACCTAGTGGCAAGTCAGCAACGTGTACGGAGGCCAGTCGGCGCACCACCGCCGGCTTAGTGATACGCAGGCGCAGCGCTGCATCATCAGCACCGGTGTAACCACCGCGCTGCACTGACCGGAATGCCGCGTTGCGTCCGCCGCTCACCCCGCCCGACGACAGCATATATAATCTGAAAAGGTAACAAAAATAAATTATATAGCTTTTTTTTCTTATAACAGAGTAGTTATCTTAATTGATATTATAAAGAGGAAAGATTTGATTGTTTGCATTGAATAAGCCCAGAAACTACTGAACTGATTTGAAAAATTCCTACACTGTTGGGAAGGTACACTATCCTCGGGTAACAAGCTAAATTTATTAATAGTTTTTTTTTAATTTGAAGAAATGACTTGTATTTAACTTACTTTAGAAGGTATCAAATATTTTAACTTATTCTACGTAACTGTATTTTGTACGTTACCTGAGTACTTCAGTGACGGTGGTTGGATCGAGGGGCAGTTTACCTAGCGGCGTACCGAGGTACGTCTGGGACCACTTGCTGGCCTTCGTAGCCAATTCTATCGCCTTTGATACTCCTATATCTGTTTCTAATTCTGCATCCCCTGAAACATATTAATTTATTGATATTAAAAGTTGTTTTAGAAATAATTAGATGTACTAATACATATAGATAAACAGGAAATTTTTATAATTTTATACAGAGAGTTTAATTTAAAGACTTCAACTATAACTGCCACAAACTTAATTGCTAATTGGCCACTTAACGAATGACTATAGGTTTCTAAGACCAAAAACTCTGTATAAAATATACATTATCTCCGTTTTATCAATCATGATTTTGGTCTCAGAATCCGACAGTTTATTTCAAACATTTCTTACCTGTAGACTCCTGCATTCTTCCGTTCTCATTATATTCCTCCGCTTCATCTTCTTGCAATGTGAATATTGTAGTTAGAAACATCTGTACGAGATCACTGAATGCTCCCGCATGCTCCTTCAATGTCAAAGATTTCCTGAACAACTCCAAATCAAAGTCTTGATGAAATACATCTTTTACTTTGAGTATGTCATTATACATATGAACAAATTCTAGGATAGATAGAAAATCGCCGAGATGTTTGTGCGGTATGCCTTCAACTTGTACCGGTGTTGCTTGTGGTATCACCTGGAAAATTAATGTCATATGTCAATGACAAAGTTTTTGTAAAAAAAAAAAAACTACTTTAGTTTTCCAATTGGACTACAATCTTTCTAATATTATAAATGCGAATGTTTAGATGGATGTTTGTTTGAAGGTATCACTAGAACAGCTGAATGGATCAGTATGAAGTTTGGTATACATATAGAACAGAGCCTGGAAGAACACATAGGCTACTGATTTCTTTTAAATAACGCGCGGATGCAGTGGCAGGCAACAACTAGTGCATAAATATAGGTGTCCGTATTTAAAATCAGAGGCAATTTTAAAACTCATAATGTCAAAACAAACATACACAACTCACACCTGTAACCCAGAGGGGTAGGCAGAGACAGACCTACAATTGGCGCAGTTAAAATGTCACTAGTGTGTTTCTTAGTTAGTTTTACATTTTTATTATGAAGAACAAAGTACCTTATGATCCTCCAACTCTTGGTCATCTTTGATTCTCTGCCACTCTTTGAGATGTGCTTTCTTTTTTGCTTTCTCTTCTTCCTTGCGCTGTCTCAACTGGTCTTCCGCTCTTCGCATTTTCTCTACTAACTCTTGAGCATTCTTTCTGGCTTCAGGATCCATTGGTTGTTTCGGTTTGGGTGATGCTATTTTTTTAATATCGTTAATTTTTTTTTTAATTTAAAATTAATTTTACTAAAGGAAGAAGTTTGTATCAGCAATGAAATAATAGTTATTTAAATTTAATACTGATTTACAAACTTACACTTAGTGACACTAAAGTAAAATAGCACATAGAACATCCTGATATATAAACACGGCTAAACACTCACGTATATTCGTCCGGTGGCGGCACCGACTAGTTTCGAGCCCATCAGGGGCCCTTCAACAGGATGAGTGGTACTGGTATCTTATATCTTTAAATGAGCAATTTTTGTATATATGTATATATATAATTGGAATCTCGGAATCGGCTCCAATGATTTTCATAAAATTTAGTACATAGGGGGTTTCGGGGGCAATAATTCGTTCTAGCTAGGAATCATTTTTAGAAAATGTCATACTATTTGTGTTTTATCGATAATCAACTTAAACATAAACTTATCTTTTTCTATCGGTAAGATCGAAAAATATTATTCATATTTCATCATTTTATTAGTAATTCGTACTTAAATATAATTTCCAAAAAACATAATTTAAAAAAATCACAAATACCGAGCAAAGCTCGGTCATCCAGGTACTTATTATACCCCGATGGGCCCGAAACTAGTCGGTGCCGCCACCGGACGAATATACGTGAGTGTTTAAGTGTTTATATATCAGTTTAGCGTGTCTCACTACAGTTTGAATAATTTAATAGAACATTCTGTCAATTTTATAAGTCACATGTCTTTATAAATTTGTCAGATTACAGTGAACATTTTACCTTCAGATTTATCAGTCTTCTTAACAAACTTATCCATTGATTCCTGTCTGCCTTTCTTATCGGGACTAACTTTTTTCAATGATTTGTTAAGCTTAGTTGCAGATCCTGGCTTTGCTTTCGGTGGTGACATACTTGTTTTTAATAATTTCTTTGATGATGCAAACTCTGGTGGACTTCCGGTAAATATTTGATTGAAATTTACTTTGTTTATGTTGTATTTTTCCATTGCTGATTGCTGTAAACGACATTTTGATATGTGAGTCATATATCTATTCTTCTTCTTGAGGTGCCTCTCCGACTAGCGAAGGTTGGCGATCAGTTCTCCATATTATATTATATATCTATTAGCACTTGGCAATTATATCACAGCCTTGAAACTACTACTATCATTACTAATATTATAAATGCAAATTTTTGGATGTATGGATGGATAGATATTTGTTGTTAGAAGATATCTGCGGCTTAATTGGATCTGGATGACATTTGACACTGATGTAGAACATACTATGGATTCATTATCATCAGCTCACTATAGGTCCCCACCGAGGGGCTCGGAGCCTACCCTAAGTTAAGGGTGATTAGCCCATACTCAACCACGCTGGCCAAGTGCGGGTTGGTTGACTTCACACATGTCTTTGAATTTCTTCTCAGATATGTGCAGGTTGCATCACGATGTTTTCCTTCACCGTAAGAACGTCGGATAAATGTACATATGTAAATCGGAAATCGAAAAACACATTGGTACATGGCGGGATTTGAACCCAGGACCTGCAGATTGCAAGTCAAGTGCTTGACCACTGAGCCACAGACGTCTCACTATGGATTATATCTATGTTATTTAACACACTTTACGCTTTATGCCAATAAGAATTGGATATATTAATAGTGAAGTTACCTTTATAGTTATGATTCCTCCAGATCCTTGTTCAACAAATTGTTTGAGAAAGAGTCTATTTTTATCACGTGAATAGACACCTTTACGTCGCCGAACACGGTCATATGGAGCGGTACCCATCTGGCCAGCAGAGGTCTGCTCCAACTCTTGGAACTGTTCTACTTCATAACAATATGAAGATGCTGGAGGTGTTGATGTGCTGAAAAATGTTATGTAAAAATTCAAGATTCGAGATTTATTTTTTTACTTTTGTACTTTATTTTAGTACTTTCTTAACATAGATATTGTGTTATCCATTGTTCGAAGATCTGATTAGAACTTATTAGTGATCTTATTAACATCTTATTAGAGTTTCTTTATATCTTATAATTTCTCATAAGATTTTTTTAGATCTTTATAAATATTTAATCAAAATTAAATTATTATATTGTACATAGCCATCATTTTCAATTTGTTTTAATATAGATATGTATTGTTCTAATTTTAAATTCTTATTAGAATTGTTATATGACTATGGACCTTAATAATCAATTGATATCAGATAAACATATGTTTATCAATCATATGTACCAGTTACAAAAAAAAACATTAATTTCTTACTATCTTTTTGCAGCTGCCAGTTATTTATGATTACAATTTTCAAAATAAAATAAATGGGGCATGGATATGGTATGCATTTACTAGTTTGGTATAACATTTTGATTCAATGTTTTTAAAATATCCAATAACATTATACACTGTATAAATGTAATAAATTTAGCAATTAACCTATTTGGATGTTGCTTCTGGACTGTGACTGACAGTATGTGGGCTTCCCGCCACTGATCACCTTCCAGACATGCTTCAACTGACTCTCCAACAAAGTATCTCTCTCTCACAAAGTTAAATACATCTTCTGACATCTCAGCAAATGAACATCTCTTGGTCTTTGCTGCCAAGTATAATATTGGTATTCGCAGCTCCATAGGAAAATCTTTTAGTGACTTCCTTGCAGCTTTCTCACTATCCATAGCTTCGGCGTATGTCAAGTTGTTCTTCCCCGTCATCTCACATGTCCACACCATGGAGTTAACCAGGATAATCCGCTCGCAATACTCCCTTGAAAGTAAACATTAAACAAAACTATAATAATATCGCTAAATTTCAACATATTAAATCGAACGGTGACATATTATGTCACGCTTGCGTTAGTACAAGAGCAGCGGCGCGGAAGCAATGTCAACGGTCTATCTCGCAATGATACACGCAATATAATTCACAAAAACACGAGAAATGCGCGAAAACATTGCATACAAACAAACTCACTCATAATCCTTGAATATCTCGTCGGTGATCTCACAGTGGAAGACCTCATCGTCGTCGCGAAGGTATTCAGACACCGTCGATTTCTCAAATGCTTTTCTTTTCAATAGAGGCATGTTAAGAGTTCGCGGGTCACTACGGTGGGAAAAGTAATTTGCAATATGTTTCACAAAAAACACTTTGGCCGTTTTACATTACGAGTTGTGCAGCACATTGATAAACGTAATCTTCTATGTAAAACTGGAGAAAAATAGTAACATTTATCAAGATACAGAGAAATTGTTGCGTGGTTTCGGTTGACAAGCCAAAAAACGGCGCGCTGGGCGCTTCTTTTTACGCCAGAAACATATGAACTGTGTTGACGCACTTCTAGAGTTTGTAAAATTTAATTTTTGGTAGTTTTTAAACCTACTATTGACAACTTAATAAATTATTCTAGCTTCTCATATAAGATCTATTTTTCATTACAGCATTCATATGGTTCCAGTGACAACGTATAATATTTAAATCTACATAGTTTAAAAGTTAATTGAAAAGTAAAAGCAAATTTTTAGGTAATGATTAAGGCAAACTAACACATATTTAAGAAATTAATTGTTTCCTAAAAAATATTCTTAAAGTCATATTTTCCCAGCAGAATATAAAAAGTGTTAAAATAGTGTTTTTGGTAAAATGTGGTAACTTCCAGATTTTCTTAGTACAACACTATTACAAATAAAAATTGAATTAAAAAATCTTGTTTCAAACCATGTTATTTACATTGGTACAAAATTTTTGATGGATTTTATAAGTAAGCACATCATATACGATATATAAAATTAAGTAGTAAAAAAAACGGTTATTTAAATTGTTCTGCTTTGGTTTGCGACTGATAACACTGTTTTTAAATAATGTTAATTTAATGTCAATGTCAAAAGTGTTCAAAAGTCAAAACATTGTGAACCGAATCATATGTAGTAGGAAAAATATGTATAAAAATATTAAGTTAAATGTAAAGGAAATAGAGCGATAACTTTAATATAAAATATATACATTTAATGATTAGTAAAAATGCCTAAAGAACAATATCGCGAAACATATGTTGGGCGTAAAATGTAAGTCAGGTTATGTTTACACGATAGGTTGTTTTGTTTCTTGCAAATATTTCTGTATTTACTTGCCTGATTTTCGGGTGAAATTGTCTACTGTAGTATTAAGCTTAAAAATTAATATGAGGCGTCTAATAACTGGATATGTTATTGCAAAATTAATCCTTTGTTTTCGTAATCATTGCAGATCTCACGTCACATTTAATGTGGACAGTGCATCAAACATTCAGCAGGCCGCACACATTCAAGTCATTACGAAAAACTTATACGCTCAAGATGGGCAAAGAGTTCCTGCCGTGTACGGCGTACTCGATAGACGAATGGTATGTCACTTTGTTTTATTTTCTTCTTCATATTGTAATACATTTTTTTAGATATCTTGACGGTTCTAAACACCTACTGTTACTTAATCCTAAGAAAAGCCATTACCATAAGCTTAGTAACTTTTTTTAAACAATAGGTTATTTATATATGATTGATCCAATATTTTGTTTTTCAGGGTACAAATCAGAAGCATGCAGATTGTGAAACCTGCGGTCTGGGCCTGGCTGAGTGTGTGGGTCACTATGGGTATATAGAGCTGGCATTGCCTGTATTTCATGTTGGATATTTTTCTTCCATCATTACCATCTTGCAGACTATATGTAAGGTAAGATGTTACTTAATTTATTGATATATTAGGTAAGGCATGAGCAAAATGACAATGTAAACCAACTTTCAGTTATACTTAGTAACAATTATGTTAAACTGATATAAAAATGACTAAACACTCACATATATTCGTCCGGTAGCAGCACCGACTAGTTTCGAGCCCATCGAGGTCCCTTCATCAGGATGAGTGGTACGGGTATTATTTCACGGACGCGGCCCCTTGCTCAGTGACGAATATATGTGAGTGTTTAGCCGTTTTTATATCAGTTTATTATAAAGTCTCACGAAAGTTTGAATAATTTAATAACAATTACGTTGATCTTTTACAGGATTGTGCTAAAGTAATGTTACAAGAGAAATTAAAGAAGTCATTCAGACGTAAATTCAATAATCCAGAACTATCATACTTACATAAGAAAACATTAAGATCAACTGTATTAAAGAAAGCTAAAACATGTAATAAATGTCCATATTGTGAATCTTTGAATGGTATTGTTAAGAAGAGTCCCACTGGAATACTGAAGATAATACATGATAAGTACAGGAATAAGAAACCAACAGATCCTATTGTGCTGAATGTTCTAAAAGATTTCCATGAAGCAAAGGAATTGAATAAGGAGGTTGCGGCTATGATTAATAGTGGACTGATTATTGAATTAACTCCATTAGAGGTATGATATCCTTTGATCATATGGTCACTTACTATCAAGTGGATTTGTGGTCAAGCACTGGTTTAATTAATATTAAAAAAAAAATTAAGTCTACCTAGTCATAGTGCTTCGCTCCAAAGCTTCATAATTAACATTAAATATGTGTAGAACTGATAATAACTTTTGACAAGTCAAGTAATGTGTTATGAATGTATGTGTATTTTGCGGTTCCTCTGGTATTGCTGATGTCCATGGGAGTTGTGGAACACCTCGGTGTTCCCGCTGCTCGTTTGTCCCCTTCTGTTATAAAAAAAAAATGTGTCAGTCTATACATTTTTGAAATTGAGTATGGAAAAGCTTCGGAGCTAATAAACTTTGTCTAGAGTCTAGAGGAGGCAGAATGGTTAATTGTAATGTGTTATTTCTTTTTATATTCTTTGGATTCTTATTGTGATATAATTAATTACTTAGGTTTTCGTTTGTGTTTTAAAATTAACTAGTTATAATAATTTGTTAATTTTCCAGGTGTTGAATTTATTTCGACGTATCCCCGATGAGGACATCCCTCTGCTAGGTATGAATGTTAAAGCATGCCGGCCGGAAGATCTGATTCTAACGCGTCTTCCTGTGCCCCCGCTTTGCATACGGCCTAGTGTTATCTCTGATATTAAAGCTGGCACGTAAGTAATTTTTTTTTTTTAAGTTTTATTATTTATTCATTTGTTAAAGAAAATAAAGATAGTAATTTACATATGACAAAAAAAATATATTTCTTACTAATATTATCTTACTTCTTTACATCTTATCTTAGGAATATTAAAAATGGGGATATTTCGATGGATGGATGTTTGTTTGAAGGTATCTCCAGAATGGCTGCTCGGACCTAGATGAAATTTGGCATACATATAGAACATAGTCTGGAAGAACACATATGCTACTTATTAAGTTAATTTTTGAATCCGCGCGGACGGAGTCGCGGTTGACATCTAGTTACATATAAAGGCTACATCATTTCGTAGTTTTTCAAATAACACATGGATTTTCTATGCTTTGACAGTAATGAAGACGATCTAACAATGAAGCAGTCAGAGATATTGTTGATAAATGATGTGATTGGACGTCACATTGCAAGCGGTGGCAAGAGTGAGCTGCTGCAGGAAGACTGGGACTACCTGCAGTTACACGTAGCCTTATATATCAACAGTGAAATGTCCGGCATACCAATGTCCATGCAGGTACAGCTGCCTCTATTCATAAACAACATAAGAGTGTTCAAAGTCTCGTCGGTTTATGTTTGCTTTGGACTATTTTCTAAAAATATTCTTAAGTCTAAAAATTTTAAAGGCATTTTACTTAACTATTATGTAATATAATAATAATACTTTGCTTTTTCAAGAAACAAGGAAAAAATATAAAATATCTAATATCTAGTTTTTAAACTTTTCCAGCCCAAAAAACCTGGTCGAGGATTGGTACAACGACTCAAGGGCAAGCAGGGTAGATTCCGCGGTAATTTGTCTGGAAAAAGAGTTGATTTTTCTAGCCGTACTGTCATCTCACCTGATCCTAACTTGCAGATTCAAGAGGTATGGTTACAAAGTCTATTATTTTTTTTTTAATTTTTCATCTGGTAAAGAGAATACATTTTATTTTTTACGTCAAGGTCATCCGGAATATATTATTTTGGTATTTTTACCTTAGGTTGGTGTACCAGTCCACGTAGCCAAGGTACTGACTTACCCGGAGCGAGTATTTCCAGCCAACATCCAGTGGCTGAGGCAGCTGGTGTGCAACGGTCCCGACATACATCCCGGCGCTAACTACGTGCAGCAACGTGGACTGCGACACAAGAAGTACCTTAAGTATGGCAACAGGGAGAAGATTGCACACGAACTTAAGGTGATAGGAAGAAAGAGAAACAAGAGGAGATAGTTCTAAATTCGAAAATAGGATAAAAATGTTGAGGACCCCTGGGTTTTAAGTGTCGGAGTGGGAATCCAGAGGTTGTCAACATTTTTTACGATTTTTTTTAATTACTTTTTTTATACAGAGATTTCAGTTTCAGAAACCCACAGTTACTTTCGAAGAGATTATAGGATGGAATTAGAACAAAGTGATTATTTCAGTGTGGTGATATTGTGGAGCGGCACCTGGTGGACGGTGATGTGGTGTTGTTCAACCGGCAGCCTTCTCTGCACAAGCTCTCCATTATGTGCCACCGCGCACGAGTACAGCCGCAAAGAACCTTTCGGTATGTTAAAATAACATACAGATATTTAAAATGGATTTTTGTAAATCTTTGTCTGTCTGTCTATCTGCCCGGCTTTTGTTCCGGGTAATCTCCGAAACCGGTGGGGAGATTTTGACGGGACTTTGACGGGAGGGTTGCTGATGCATGCGGACATATTATAGGCTACTTTTTTGAAATTCTACGCTGACGAAGTCGCGGGCGACCGCTAGTTGTTAAATAACTCTGAAGCTTATCTATATAAGTTAACTACGTTGCAGTTTCAACGAGTGCGTGTGTACGCCGTACAACGCGGACTTCGACGGTGACGAGATGAACATGCACCTGCCGCAGACTGAGGAGGCCAGGGCTGAGGCACTCATACTTATGGGGGTATGTCTTACATTCAAATCTAACTCTACCCATATACCTCTTTCAGTTGCTCTAGGTTTTATAGGATTTAATGCATACGACGTACTTTTTTTAAGTAAGTCGTTTGACGGAGGCCTAATTTAAGTCCTCTTTCACTTCCCACCCCTATCTTACAAAGAAACCATGGGATGAGAGAGAGAGAGAAATAGAGAGAAATACTTTGCGTTCTTCCTCGTTGATTGTGGATATAGGTATCAGTCGCTTCGCCATTTCGGCGAATTCAAGTGGTCGTTTCCTCACTTGCTTAGCATTCTTATTTAAATAGTTATGATGCGAATAAAAAATAAATCGTATCTTCAAACAATTCATGAAAGAATTATATTTTATTATACAACAATGTTAACCAGAACAAATCAAACTTGGTAACGCCACGTAACGGGGAGCTGCTGATAGCGGCCACTCAGGACTTCATTACGGGCGGCTACCTGATCACTCAGCGGGACACATTCTTCACGAAGTCGGAGGCGCAGCAGCTGGCCAGCTGTCTGTTGGCAGGACCTGACAGCACCATGAGGATCGACATGCCCCCGCCCGCTATACTCAAGCCCAGGATGCTCTGGACCGGCAAACAGATATTCAGGTAAAATATTCGCTTAAAGCGCCATCTTTTTGTAGATTACATGTAACTTTACTATATCTTACTAATAAATGCGAATGTTTGGATGGATGGATGTATGTTAGAAGGTATCTCAAGATATAAAACACAGTCTGTATGAAAACATAGGCGACTAATTTTATTATATTTAATTCCGCGCGGACGGAGTCGCGGGCGACAGCTAGTCTTTTATCGTTTGCAAATTTATATTTATAATAATTAAAACAATTTGGTTAATACAAAAAAGTTTAAATACTGAGTAATTTAGAAAATAGGTTTTATTGTTGGATTACTAGATGGCGTTATTTCTTATTCCTTTTTTCCTTTTAAGCTAGAACAGTTATGAAAGATGAAACGTTTTGAAAGTATAAAATGATCCATTTAATGTATATTTGTCGCAGTTTGATAATGAAACCCAACAAGCAGTGCGAGGTGAAGGCGAACCTGGAGGTGAAGGGCAAGAATTACACCAGCAACAGAGATATGTGCGTTCAGGACTCCTGTGAGTATCTTTCTCTCTCACTTTAGCTCTACTTATATTGTATCTTCTTTCTCTTTCGTGTAACGTAATAACTAAATGAGAAATTATGAAATTTACAACTAAGAATTTCTATTTTATACCATCCATCCATCCAGCTGTTCTACCTTCAAACATCCATCCATCCATTTAAACATTCGCATTTATAATATTAGTAAGATTTTCGTGTGTGTTATGAAGATATTTTTTATTTTTTTTGCCATAGATGTGATAATTAGAAACTCCGAGCTACTTTGCGGTTCAATGGACAAGAGCACATTGGGTTCTGGCACAAAGACCAGTATATTTTACATCCTGCTTCGTGACTGGGGTGAGGAGTACGCTGTTAGAGGCATGTGGAGGTTAGTAATACTTTTGCATAACTAATAGTAGAGTAAATCACCCGTTATATTGTAAACTGCCTAAACGGCTTGACCTTGAAATAGAGATTTCGTTAATTTGTATTCTTTGCAGTGACATGTCTAGTCAGCGAGATTAGTTTTTTTTTTATATCAGAAGGTGGCAAACGAGCGATCGGCCACCTGAAATCGCTGAAATAGCGAAGTGACCCTTGCCCATAGACATACGCAATTGCATATGCGTTCCCTACCTTTCATCGACGGAGGAGAGGATGCACAGAAAGAAAATATTTTCCCTTCCTATGCATCCTCTCATCCGGAAAGTCCACTTCCACTTCCCATCCTTTCCTTATATTTAAGAAAAAGGGTGGGAAGGGAAAGAGGACTAAATTAGGCCTCCGGGACGCACACTCATCAGACGAAACGCTGAATAGCTTCCACTTGAGGCCTGTCTTCTGTGTGGTGGTGGTATTTCACCGGACGAGCCGAGACAATTCCTGCGAACATGTTAAAGCTCGCTCTACCACTGTTAGTTTTAAAAAAAATATTGCAGAAAAAATTAGTTATTATAAATGCAAATTAAATGGATGGATGGATGTTTGAAGGTATCTACAGAACGGCTTTATGGATCTCGTTGTAATTTTTCATATTATTTAAACCATAGTTTGCAAGAACACATAGGATACTAATTAAGTTTTTTTTTGCACGGACGGAGTTGCGGGCGATAGATTGTTTTAATATATTTTATGTTTAATTTTCAGATTAGCTCGTATGGCGTCATATTATATGATGAACAGAGGATTCAGTTTTGGAATTATCGACGTGACGCCAGGCAAGAAACTCATTGAAGCTAAGAATAAACTGCTGGAATCAGGGTATGAGACAATTTCTTTGTCTTTTTGGCAACAAATCATCATCATCATCATCATCATCATCAGCTCCCTATACGTCCCCACCAAGGGGCTCGGAGCCTACATATCTTACTAATATTATAAATGCGAAAATTTGGATGGATGGATGGATGGATGGATGTTTGTTAGAAGGATTGTATCTTCATAACAGACTCAACGGATTTTGATGAAATTTAGCATAGACGTAGAACATAGTCTGTAAGAACAAATAGGCTATTTTTTTTTAATTCCGTGCGGAGTCACGGGCGACAGCTAGTGATAAATAAATCATTTTTTTTTCATTTGTTCATGATGATATGTATTGCAGGTACTCCAAATGTGACGGGTACATCCTGGAGATGGAGAAGGGCACGCTGCAGTGTCAGCCTGGCTGCACCGTGGAGGAGACCCTCGAGGCTGTCATGCTTAGCGAACTCAGCAGCATCAGGTAGACATCACAGAACTTATGTTTACTAAAACAACTAGCATTCGTCTGTGACTTTGCCAGCGTAAAATTAAAATAAATTCTAGCTTGATACCTTCACGCGTTCTAGAAAAAGGGTTTTGATAGACGGACGTACAACAATGTGATGATACGGGTTCCGTTTTTTTTACTTTCGAGTTACGGAACCCTGAATAGCAATAATATTCAATCATCGAACGCGGACTTGCATACAGACATATAAATACGATTGTCAAGGAATTTAAGAATTGGATTTTATTTAATGTCAAACGCACAATAAATATTATATAAAAAAAAAATTATTACCAATACAAACAAAAATACAATTTTCATGGGCTTTTTGTATATATATAAAATATTGTATCACAATTGGTTTGTTACAGAGAATTGGCAGCGAAGGCTTGTTTCCGTGAATTACATCCGACTAACGCACCTCTTATTATGGCGCAGAGTGGCTCTAAAGGTAAAGTCAAATTTTGCATAGATTTATCTAACATAAATAACAATTATTCATCATCAGCTCACTATACGTCCCCATTGCGGAGCTTTGAGCCTACCCTAAGTTAGGGGTGACTAGGTCATAGTCAACCATGCTGGCAAAGTGCGGGTTGACTTCACAGATATCTTTTGAATTTATTCTCAGATATGTGCAGGTTGCATCACGATGTTTTCCTTCACCGTAACAACGTCGGATAAGTTTACATATGTAAATCGGAAATCGAAAAACACATTGCTACATAGCGGGATTCGAATACAGTACCTGCAGATTTTAAGTCAAGTGCTTGACTCCTGAGCCACCGACGCTATAAATATTAAAAAAATCAATACATTCTGCACATATCTGCATAATTCAAAGATTTATGTGAAGTCAACTCGCACTGGGTCAGAGTAGTTGACTATGGCCTTGTCAATAACTTAGGGTAGGCTCCAATCAAATCCGGTTCTATGGGGACCCTTAGTGGACTGATGATGATACTATGATGTATATTTATGTTATATGTTGTTTGTAGGTTCCAACATCAACATATCTCAGATGATAGCTTGCGTGGGTCAGCAGGCGCTGAACGGCAAACGTGTGCCCAACGGCTTCGAAGACCGCTCCTTGCCGCACTTCGAGAGACATTGTAACATTCACTTTACATTGTGTTTAACTGTGAAACACGCTGATTTTAATATTTAGGGCACCCCTGGGCGAGGTTTTTGCGGCGCCCCATTTTTTGGCGTTGGGAACATCTTCTCAAGGTCAAAGAGACCCCTAGTAAAGGGCATCGCCCTGGGCGATCGCCCTATTGAAAACATCCTTTTATTCTCCTTGTTCGGTAGAACACATGTTTTAATACGTGGTTTATGAAAAACTAGCTGTTGCCCGCGACTTTGTCCGCGCGGCATTAAAAAACTTTGTGTTCTTCCAGACTATGTTAAATTTCATCGAGATTCGTTGAGCCAATCCGCAGATACCTCCATACAAACATCCATCCATCCAACCATTCGCATTTTTAATATTAGAAAGATATTTTTTTTTCTTTAGTATTGTGTCTGTTCCCGTAGCAAAGATTCCAGCAGCGCGTGGTTTTGTGGAGAACAGTTTCTATTCAGGACTGACACCGACCGAGTTCTTCTTCCATACAATGGGCGGCCGCGAGGGGCTCGTTGACACTGCTGTCAAGACTGCCGAGACTGGTTATTTGCAGCGCAGATTGGTCAAGGTCAGAGACCAAACTTTTACCGTACTCAGCGTAGAATGATGGATACTAAGCAGTGAAATTCTCTTTTGCTCCACAGATTCCTAAATTGTTTATCTTTATAGATCTTTTAAAGTTATTCAGTGAAGGCTGAGCTGATACATTCCCTCTCAGATTGTGCCGGAGGCTTAATTTTAGTCTTCCTTTCCAACCCACCATTTTCTTTTAAGGAAAGGATGAGAAGGTGAAATGCATTTGACAGAAGAGGGGATGCCTAGGAAGGGGAAATTTTCTCTTTATGTTCGTCCCGTTCTCTGTCGGGTATATCCATGGGTAGCGGTCGCTTCGCTATTTCGGCGAATTCAAGTGGCTGTTTGTTTAGGAAGCATAGCATCTGACATGTGTGTTGTTGGTTGGTTCAGTCTCTGGAGGACCTGGTGCTGCAGTACGACATGACGGTGCGCAACGCGACAGGCGAGGTGGTGCAGTTCCGCTACGGCAGTGACGGCCTCGACCCCAGCTGCATGGAGGGCAAGGACCGACCTGTTGACCTCGCGCGTGTACTCAACCACGTGCGCGCGCAATGCCACGCACGGTATGACACACACTGACCATGACACCCTTGCTCTACACAGCCTAGTAGATATGTCTCTAAATACTATTATAATTGCATGAGCAATGCTCTTATGAAGCACTATAAAGAGTCAAGTCGTCTAAAAGTCCACATTCCGTGACAAAAAAAAACGTTTAATAATTTTAAAAAGGGTTACCATTCTCATTCCTTTAGGGTTATTATGTATTTTTTTTATTGTTTTAACAGGGAGGAAGAGCCGCTGGACGGCGACGGTATCGTGGTAGCGGCGGAGGAGACTCTTGCACTGGATGACTTCAAGACCTGTCCTGAATATTTCAAGAAAGAACTGCTGTGGGTGCTATTTATTTATATTCCTATTTGACATTTTTCTAGAGCTAGCAATGCGATTCTATTCTATATTCAGAGGAGAAGTCAAGAGACGAAACAAAGGAATATAGTTTAAGTCATTTGAATAACAGCTCAAGTTAGTAACCAATATTAACGCTATGACTACGGATATCCATTTGCAGCAGTCGTCTCACAAAGAACAAAAGTAGCCTATAAAATTTCAGCGTGTATCAGCAATCTTCCCGTCCAGGTTCCGTCAAAATAGATCCAACAGTTCCAGAGAGTACCCGGAACAAACACAAACCTACGGACAGACAATTAAAATTAAAAAAAAAAATGGTTTTTCTTAATTTTTTTTTCGATTTTACATCCATTTCTATCCATTTGATTACTCCAATTTTATTATAATACTATTTATGTTGTAATAGTAAGATATTTTCCAGTGCATTCCTGACGACGGTAGCGGAGAAGGTGCGTGCACTGCGCAGCCGGTACGCGGGGTGCGGGGGCGTGGCGCTGCAGGCGGAGCGCCTCACTCTGCCGCAGCTGGTGCGCTTCGTGCGCGTCTGTCATGACAAGTACCAGCGCGGTGTCATCGAGCCTGGCACTGCTGTGGGAGCTCTCGCCGCACAGGTACCGTACGGCGCGGCGGCTCACCGCACTTACAAACAAATAACGCTTTGCCCAATACTAGAACAAACTCCGCCCACTTCTTACTAATTTAACAGTGGTAGAGCCCGCTTTAACATCTTCGCACGAATCGGCCCGGCTCGCCTGGTGAAATACCACGACCATACAGAAGACACGCGTCAAGTGGAAGCTATTCCAACTACAGTCTTATGAATGTACGTCCTCTTTCACTTCCCACCCCTTTTCTTATAAGGAAAGGATGGGAAGTGGAAGTAGACTTTCCGTATGAGAGTATGCATGGAAAGGGAAAATATTTTCTTTCTATCCATCCTTCTCCTCCGTCGATGAAAGGTAGGCAAGGCATATGCAATTGCGTATGTCTATGGGCAACGGTCACTTCGCTATTTCAGCCATTTCAAGTGACTAACATATAAACTGTAATTTAGTGACTTTTAACTGAAATGGGTAGGAAATAAATGTCCTCGACTATAAATTAAGCAGGATCAAGAAAATATACAACTAAGAGTTTTATCAATAGAAACTCACTATGATTATGTCATTAGTTTTTCATACAAATAATTTAATATTTACTCTATCAGAGTATCGGAGAGCCTGGTACACAGATGACTTTGAAGACATTCCACTTCGCGGGTGTGGCTTCGATGAACATAACGCAAGGAGTGCCACGAGTCAAGGAGATCATCAACGCCTCGCGCTGCATCTCTACTCCCATCATCACGGCAGAGCTGGCCAGGCCATATGACCAGGAGTTCGCCAGGAGAGTCAAAGGACGTGTCGAGAAGACTACGCTAGGTGAAGTAAGTAGAAGATTCTACTAAAACCTTATTGTTAAATGAAAAAGAATATTTAAGTGTAACACTTAGTGTAGATATGTAATTATTATGGTAAAAATTAGTCACCTATTTAACAACTAAAAATTTCTATGTGAACTTAGTATCAATTTTTTTATTAACTGATTTGTTCAGACCTTATCACATTCTTGCTATCTAGTAAAGTTAAATTTATTATGAACTAGTTGTCGCACGCGATTGCGTTCGCGTCGAGTATAAAAAAACTTAATTAGCTTATGTATTCTTCAAAGCTATGTTCTACACCTGTGCCAAATTTCAACGAGATCCATGTAGTAGTTCTCGAGACATGTTCCAAAAACATCTGTCCATACATTGAAACATTCGAATTTATAATATTAGTAATAGTATACAGGTACGTTATATAAAATCAAAGTATACAAAATATACAAGTGAGTAATAATTATACATTTGACGTATTTGCCTATCAGATAACGACTTATATAGACGAGGTGTATCGACCCAGCGAGTGCTTCCTGCTGATCAGATTGGACGCTGAGCGCATCAAGCTGCTCAGCCTGGAGGTCAACGTACACACCATTATATACTCGTGAGTGATCCAATAAACCAGCACTGGATTCACTACATTACTCTTAAAAAGCCATAAGTAAAGAAGAAAAAAAACTGTAATGTTTGTCCGCGCTAATGATAGTAACTATTGAACGTATTTTAAAAATTCTTTTTGTATTTTACAGCCCCTTTAATAAGGAATATCCTATATATTTAACATCACGCTATCACCCTTAGCAGAGTGGAGCAGTAATGAAATAAAAAAAACTAATAAACAACCAGAAGACATAGCTTAATCATGTAGACTATGCATTTAGTGTCCTTAAGCCGTCCTTAAAGTAGATTTAATATAAGAAATCTACACTTAGGAAGTAGTAACGATCAATTAAGGAGTCTAAATACGACAGCTTTCACTTGTTCCAGTATATGCACGTCAAAGATAAAGGTGAAGGCATCAAACGTGATCGCGGTATCAGAGTGGGCGGTGAAGGTGGTGGGTGAGGCGGGGCGCGGGGGAGGGCCCGGACTCAACGTGGCGCTGCAGCAGCTCGCCCGACAGCTGCCCTCCGTCGTGGTGCAGGGTCTGCCTAAAGTCTCCAGGGCGGTCATCGCATGTGATGACACCAAAAGTACCAACAGGTAGGATAAAGTAATAAAGATATTTCGTTATTTGTTCAAAAAGTCACCGAACTCGATTTGAAGATATTTTTATTCATAAACTGTCTGTGTAGCAGAATTTAAAAAAAGCTTAATAAGTATCCGATGTGTTCTTCTAGATCCGTTGAGCTGTCCCGGAGATACCTTCAAACAAACATCAATCCATTTAAACTTTCGCATTTATAATATTAGTAACATTAATGTAAAGAAAATATGAATAAACCTTGTAAAATTACCCTAAACTTGTTAAATTTTTTATTTTACAGATACAAATTGTGCGTAGAAGGAGACGGACTGAGAGATGTTATAGCTACGTACGGCGTGGACGGAACTAAGACAACTTCTAACAATATTCTCGAGGTAACTTTGTAAACTGACTTTATTACTCATACGAGTATTTACTGCAGTGTATACTTTTTGGGTTTTATATTTACTGTTGCGTATACATACTTGGTGTAGTGTACAGATGTTATTGTATACATTTACTATTATGTATACATACTGCAATGTATACTTACTATAGTGTATAATTCTTTTTGTATACATTTGCTGTAGTGTATAATTGTTGTATACATTTACCGCTGTGTATACTTAGTAAGTTGTATACGTGTGTCAGGTGTTCAACACGCTGGGCATCGAGGCTGCGAAGTCTACAATAATAAGCGAGATCCAGGCGGTGATGGCGGGACACGGCATGGCGGTGGACCGGCGGCACGTGGAGCTGCTGGCGGCGCAGATGACGGCGCGCGGCGAGGTGCTCGGCATCACGCGCTATGGACTCGCGCGCATGAAGGAGTCCGTCCTCAACCTTGCCAGTGTTTGTATCACATCATTTTGTTTATACCGGACTAGATTTAATCAGCAGACTATGTTTTCTTCCAGGCTATGTTCTACATCCATGCCTAAGTTCTTCAAGATCTGTTGAGCCGTTCCAGAGATATCTCGTAACTAACAAATATTCATCCATCTAAGTTTCCGTACATATAATATTAGTAAGATTGATGCATGTTGATGCAGCGCCCTCTGCTGTTTATTGGAAACACTGTGTTATTATATTTCTAGTCTAGTTAAATATTTTATAGCTCGTTCCTTGCAGTAAAGAGAAAAACCTCAAATTCACTGACTATTTTTAGTTTCTTTTTAAATTCAGCTGAAATTATGTGACTTCTCTTTTGTGGAATTAAAAAGCAATCTACATTTAAAAAAAATAGTAATTTAATTATTTTCTCTGTTATTAGATTTTCATAGTTAATGTATTATTCCAGTTCGAGAAAACAGCGGATCATTTATTCGACGCGGCGTACTACGGGCAGCGGGACTCGATAGAGGGCGTGTCTGAGTCCATCATAGTGGGCGTGCCCGCAGCTATCGGCACCGGCTGTCTGCAGCTGCTGCATAAACACGCTCAACACGGCGAACACGTTGAACACGTCGACCACTCTAAACACGTGGAACACGCTAAACACGTCGAACACGTCGCACCGCAAACAAGACCGTTGTTGTTTGATGATCCACAATACCACACTTCGATATGGGAATAAATTTGTGTTTTTCTTTAACCGTGGGTTTCTAAAATTAAAATCTCTGTATAAAACATATTATTTCTGTCATTATTTTAAACAATGCAGAGATATCAATGTTTTAAACGGATTATTTGGTCTCAGTAACCCGCGGTAAATATACCTCTTGAACAAATCGTAGTTTTTTTTTCTTTGTGAACATTTTTTTTAATATTATAAAGAGCCAACGAGTTGCTACTCTCCTTAAAGTGATCTTAGTAGGGAAATAAAATTATTAAAACAAAACATATCAACTAGTATTTATTTCAACTAAAATATTACAAATACGAATTCATTTTACTTAAATATAAAAATTAGCTTCATTTCAACTTAGCATTTAGGTAATGTAACGATACAAAGCGATGGGAAACTTCGTAATAACCAAATAAAATGCAACGTAACACTGGAACAAACACTAATCACTAATGACGTCATATCTCACAGTCTATTACTATTTTTTTTTTCATTGCCGAGACAAATAAAACTTTGTCCCATTCCAATGTTTTAGAGCAGTGTAATTTCATGGTTATTGTGGTGCATTGGTCTGCGCAGGCGCATCGTACAGCCGCGTCCATTTCTCGCTAACTTTCCACAGCCACATTGCCAGCTCGTAGTCCTGCGCCTTCTCTGACGGTGTTGCTAACTTCATGTCGCTAAATAATATAAAATTACAAAATTAAACCTTTGTTATAATTATTTTAAAAGCAAAGAAATATTTGTTAATAAGCAGTTCATAAGTTGATCAAAATTTTTATATTTCATTTATAAATTTTGTTATAAGAAATAATTTCCACTCCAATAAATTTGAGTTGGCTGTTGCCTGAGAAAATCACTCTAACTGGTTAAAGAAAAATCTTATTAATATTATAAATGCGAATGTTTGGATGGAAGAATGTTTCTTTACCTCCGGAACGGGTGCATGAATCTCGCTGAAATTTGGCACAGATGTAGAACATAGTCTGGAAGAACACATAGGCTACTATTTTTTTTTACAATTCCTCGCGAACGGAGTCGCGGGTGGCAACTAGGTTATAAGTCACTGAACTTACACATAGTAATCACCAGCGCTGTTGGCGAGTTGATCATCAAGCGCGGCGTGCAGTATGACCTGTGCGGCGGCGCGCGGCATTTTCATCACCGGCCAGAACACCGGGTAGATGATGAACCGCGTCATGCTCTTTGACATCGGCATGTGACGCGTCAGATTTGTGTCAGAGAAGCCAGGGTCCACCGCCGAAACTGACACACCGCTCTCTGGTGTAACAAATTTGAACTCAATCGACTATGAATAAATTAGTAATCGACTAATCGTTGGTTTCTGAGAGCTTTGATTTTTGATAAAATGGGGGTTTTGTCTCAGAAACTCACGGTAAGAATCTTTCTTCTTTATCTTTCTTGTCTTTGATGCTACAGGTAGTTTTCTTGTGTAGTGCAGAATTTATGGCTTTATTTTCCTATATTAGTATTGTTTAAAAGAGTTGTTCGTGTAAATAACGCGACTCACCGAGTAGTCTTCTCCCGAGTTCTCGTGCGAAGAGCAAGTTGGCGAGCTTGGTCTGACAGTATGCGGCGTTGGGTTCATACTGCTGGCTCATGTTGAGGTCCTCCTTGTGAATGTCGCCGCGCCGGTGTGCGTCGCAAGTCACCACCACCACGCGGCTCGGTGCTGACGCCTATGTTACGAAAAAAAATATATTTATCTTTAGATGAGTTTGTATTTAACTATTGTAAATATTGCCAACCTTCAAGGTATCCAGTAGTAAATTGGTAAGCAGGAAATGTCCCATGTGATTGACGCCTAGTTGTGTCTCAAAGCCATCCTTTGTCACTCCCTTTGGCGTTTCCATGACAGCGGCGTTGTTGACCAAGATGTCCAGCTTAGGCTCCTCAGATTTGAACCTGGGAATAGTTAAGGTTAGAAAATATTGAAGATACAATTTCGTATAACCACTATGGTCCTTCGAGCAAGATATATTACAAATTTATTTAGTTTAATTTAGCAAATTTTCAAAGATTTCAGTTCTAAAATATTGAATCAAAAGTAAAATATCGCGCGATACCTCACTAACTAGATAGAGCGACCATGTTAAATACCAATCGTCCTTCAAATTCTTCACAATGGTGACAGGTCTACGCGCTAGACAGAAGTCGTGGAATCAGATCATCGTCAGCTCCAGATGCAACGCTGACGACATCCTCAGGCATGAGACTGACCCTAGACAAAGCGATGGGTACCTATTAACGAACTCCCTGACGGAGGCGAGGGAGGCGAGGTTGCAGGGCCGGCAGTAGATGTATTTGTTGCCTGTCTCCAGCACGATCTCGCGCCGCGTCTCCTCGCAGTTCGTCATGTCGCGGCACGCCATGAACACCTGGTTATACAACAAATTATACGACTCTTTTCGTGGGTCATTCTGTTCGGTAATAGCTGGAAAAACTTCGTAAGTACTTATACAATGAACTGTTGTGAATATTAACAAGAAGTCAAAGCGAATTAATTATGAACCTGGTTTTCATCTTTTAAGTGTATTAATTTGTCTGGGCATATATTTATATTTTTAACTTAATTCCTATCAAATTCTCTTGTTAACTTATTATTTATCAAGTAAAAACTCTCAATGTCGCGGAGTAAATATGTCACCTTAGCTCCCCTCTTGGCGAACTCCCAGACGGCCTCCTTGCCGATGCCTGTGTTAGCGCCGGTGATGACGACAGTCTTACCCTCCGCCTTCACGTTGCGGTCAAACGGCGACCCGCCGTGCATGTCCCTGGACGGTCATTACTACAGTTGTTTATCTTTAATAAATAAAACTTTAAAGATAAAGCCACTATCAATAAAAATATAATGAGGGTCGTACCTTACCCCTAGATAAGAGAGTCAGGCCACAAAATTTGGTAAATTTTTAGGTACAAATTCAGTACTTATTTCAGTACCGTGAGCAACTAGTGACTATCTAAAAGTAATCGTTAATCGTACGTTTTTACTACGAGAAGTTTAGTTTAATAGTATACAACTCACTTAAACAAGCATAGCGCACCGGCCGTGGCAGCCACTCCTGTGATCACCGTGATAGGCAAGTTGGGGATCCACATGCCTGCAGACAGAACAAAGACAATCTTAAAAACAACGGAGTCTTATAATCTACACAACTAATGCGTTGATTAACAACTTACCTGTAGAAAGCTAAATATATATAAAATAAGTTCGCATCAAACTAAACCGTGAAGACGTTGACCATCTTTACCCATGACGACTCATAAATTTTAATTTACTAAAGCTTTACATATTGACTACATTGTTTTACGATATGTAGTTACTAATTCTTTTCCTATTATCCCCACTAAATACAGACTCTGTTAATTAAAATGACTGAACATCCATACAACTTAAAATGGTCCTGCCGAGCCGGACATTCGAAGTGTGTAGGGAATTGTGGCAAATGAAAAACCATGTTTATTTTAATATTTTTTATTATTTTTCTTAATTTTAAACGTGTAAATGTTACTATTAGTGTTTGCTTTTAATTAATTTACAGTGCCGTAACTAAATCTTATATAAATTATTTATGCGTTTGTTTTATTTCTCGGAAATATGTGATTACTACGATCACACGTGACATAACGTTCGTGTTAACTTTTTTTTTAAAGGAATAATTCAATAACATATTTTTTCTAAGCAGGCAGTGAGTGAATAGAGTTCACATTAAATGTTTTAATATCATAAACGTATATTATTTTTTTTTTATTTACAAATAAATATGAAATTACTAAAAGAGTGAAATAAATTGACAAGAATAAGCACAACCTTGTTAATTAAATTTAATAGGAACCATTTCATCTCAGAAAATGATCTAAATTCAACTTATTGTATGTCATTACTTATTTGGTAAATTTTGTATGAGTAAAATTAAAAAAGAAAACATTTTTTTAGTATCTTTTTAATGTCAACGCCATCTAGTTATAAAAATATGAAACACAGATTTCTGATTTTTGTCTAAATCAGGGGTCACGAAACAATGTCACGCGACTGTATTTTGAGCAAGTCACTGATTAAAAAAGTCATTTTACACTAAGAAAAAGGTACGTAAAAGTGAAATAGGTATATGAGGAGCGAACACTAGTGATCCATAGGCTACGAAATGTTCACAATAATAACATAGAAAGTTTGATGGCATGTTGATACACAAAAGTTTGCAACCCCTGGCTTAGATATACTTATTTTAAAATAAACATACAATCACATATTTCCGGGTTTTATATTTAATATATAAGTAAGCTATGTCAGTCTGCACAACGGGAAGTATTACAGTACCAGCTTGTTTAAAACTATTTCAACACGTCAGACGAAAAGAGTTACATCTCTAATTACATGTAACTCTTTTCGACGTACGCTACGCTGATTTCAAAGGGACTAGATTCAGTTTTATTATAAAAAAATATATCTATGTTATTGAAAAGCTAATACTATAACAGATTAGAACTTCAGGTTCGTATTACTATGAGTTCGTACTGCCGAAACATTCACATAAAACATGTTGTGATAGATATTGTATGGATCAGCAGAACGAAATGTTACAAAAAATAAAATTGTTATATTTATGAGTAAACATAAAGACTAAATGTCGCCAGAGACTGTCCTCACGGAATTTGAAAAAAAAATAAGTAGCCAACGAGTTCTTGCAGACTATGTTTTGCATCTATGCCAAATTTCAGCGTGATCCATGCAGCTGTTCTTAAGATACCTTCCAACAAACATTCATCCAACTAGCAAGCATCTAAACTTTCGCATTTATAATATTAGTAAGATTTATATACTGAGTATTATTTCCACTTTCATTTAAATAAGATAAAATATTACAACATTGATTAAATCAAATTAACGCTTTTATTTATTACGTTTAATAAAAAAAATACTAATATGGTATTTCTTAACTTATTATTAAAATTAAAACTAAACATCAATAATTAAAACAGGTAGTTAGCTGGTTGCAATTAAAAACTATAATTTGACTCAATTTCTGTACAATAAATATTGTTGTCCCTTTTATTTTCAGTTGATAAAACAGAGACACACTGATATCTATAAATATGATAGGTTAGGTTAGATAGGTTTTAGTTCGGAAATGGCTGCTTTTGCTCTGTTCCGAATTAAACGCGCCTTGAAGTTCCTGACATCTCTTTTATTAGTTCTAATTCTCACCACCGTTGTCAACGGCAACCATCAGCGCCAAAATCTCGAAAATCAAGTAGGCACAAAATAACACGGTTTATAGCCTGTCCATGTTATCAGAGATAAAGTTAACTTTTCAAAACCATCATTGTAAAGTCAAAAGAATTAATTTCCTTTCTCACTCAGAATGTCACCGTTTTAAACTGTCATATTAAAATCTATAATTATGATTTTCCTTTTAGTGTAATGAAACTATAGCCAGATGACATTTCATAGAAACGAATATAATTGTCCTGAAATACACAATAGTCAAATAAAATTTATTACTGCCAATAAAAAGCATGTTTTTTTTAATACAATCATTGTGACGTCATATGTTTTAGTAGTTTTGTTATGGTGTTCGAGTACCTACATTACTTATAACTAAAATTGACAGATTTATTGAACAATTTTGAGAAAACAGAAACATATCGCCATCTCGCTCACTCCATTTGAAGAAACAGAATCAACAATATTTAGTTGTTTTGCCAATAAAAATGTACACTTTTTGTTAATATATTAAATTTAATAAATTTCAAATATATACATTAAAGGCAAGTTACTCAATTTAAATATATATGTATTAATATCACATGTGCCTCTTTACATATAGTGCACTTTATATACTTTAAAACATTCTTACAAGTTCATTTCAAATTAAAAGAAATTTAAACATGTTTGTTGACTTTCCGCTGCTAAATATGGTCATTCCAGCCGGATTCTAAGATCACAAGCTCTGCTTTCAATTATAAAAAATGTTCCAGAATAAAGCTATGTTTGAGTACAGATATGAATTAATATTTTAGGTATTAAACCTGATTAGAAATATAAAAAAAACCCTCTTTTGCGCACATTAGGATATTTGATAAAGGCTTACTTGACATCATCCAGGACAGACATTTTTATATTCTTAGTTAAGTAAGCAATAACTTCTAACCTCAAATACTTATAAAAAAAATGTCTGCCATTCTCTTTAAAATATCACAACATAATGTTCTGTAAGATATTTCAGTCATAGATATAAAACTGACCTAAAGGTCTATGTTACCAGGTCATAAAATTAAAAAAAATAATAGATATAAAACATTTAAATTGAATATTGTGATACAAAGTGGCAGTCAAATGTTTTTAATTTCGTAGCTTGTTTTAAAAATCATCAATGGATTGAATACTTGAACTTATCTACAATGACTTTACTTTTTTGTTTAAAAAATCAAATTTTATGTGAATGTCTAGATAACTTAGTATTCTTAACTTATATATATATAAGTGAAAAAATCTTGTATTTTGATATGATTTAGTTTACTATCTTTAAATGTTAATGTACATATGTATTGGTTATAAAGAAAATTTAAAAAATGGATGTAAGTTATGTTATTTACATATACAAATACATAGATATTTAATTGCTCCCTTAGGTACATCTAAAAGGTATATTATTATTCTATTTACTATGTTTTAAAGGGACAAAGAATGAAAGTTTTTATTAAATCTTACATTGCAATGATTCTAATACATTTTATGTGAGAAAGAGAGCAACTCCCTAAAAGAGGGAAACAAATCATGTACTACACTATGTGCAATTTATGTGTGATTGTGTATGGGAATTAATCTAATAAAGCTTACATAATATTGTATGTGTATGATTGATATATAACTAGACTAAATATTGTGCTAATGTTTGTTATTTCCTACATTTATTATGACAATCTATGTAGATCTGTATCAAAAACTGTAGAAAAAACGAAATTAAAAAGACGGTAATTAAGATGAAATAATTGATTTTGAAATTAAACGGTAGGTTAAGAAGGGAAATGTTTTGTACAATATTAGCTTTTAGCCAAAACGGTTAGTTATGTTTTGATTTTGGGTCATTATTTTAACACTAAATATAATCAAATCCTTGTACAATATAAGCATAATCTTTGACTAGTATAGTTAACACAGTTCATTGAAGATTAACTCGGTTTGTTTAAAGTAGTTGTGCTTTTTGATTTTGTAGCATCGTGTGAAGGTAACGGCCTGGCTATTCCAACTCTAACAATACCTCTTGGTGCACCTTTTAATGCTTGCACAGCTTGATCTAGGGTTGCATTTTTTATACTACCTCCATTAACTGACATAACACGGTCACCGGGGGATATTTCTCCATTCTTCTCAGCTACACCTCCTGGCACTAAGCTCCTAACAACAATTACTGTCCCATGGGGATCTATTGGGTCTTGGTAATCTAATATAGAGAAACCTAACCCTTGGTCCCCCTTTATCAACTCGACAATGTCTTCTTTACTCTGCCACATTGCTAAACCGGACACACACTCTAACGAACGGGATTTCTTCGATAATTCGGAGTGATTCGTAAGGGTTGCTGTGCTTGAAGTATTAATTGATGTATCTGATTGTGCTTTCACTATTGTAGTTAGATTATTTAAACTGCCAGAAATTATTTTTCTAGCTTCAAAGCCTTCTCTGTCTGGTGCCAAGTTGATTAGTGGTCTCGGACCACTGTCAGTGTTGCTTCTCGCACAGACGAGCCGCACTCGGTTTGGCAGCTGCTTCAGTATGTTTACAACCTCTGTATGAGTTAAACCATGTAGTCTGTACTCATTAGCTTCAAGAAGCTCATCTCCAGCATTTAATGTGCCCTGCTGCCCAACTGGACCCTCCGGAAGAACTGATCTGATATAATGGTGTGGTCTCACTTCCTGCCCTCCCTCAACATCAACAGTACCTTCTAGACTTATACCTAATCCTGAAAGTTTGTTGATTTCGGCAATTATTATTTGTTTTCCGGGCCCTATTTCTTCTTGCCACTTTTGCCTCACTTCCTCTTCATCAATAGCAAGAATCTCATTGAGCCTTTTGTCTAGTTCCTCCTGTGTTGGCTCATCAACTTCATTCTCACCCACTTCTAGTACACCAGAGTCTATAGTAGTGTTGGATTCAGGCTCAGGTTCAATTTCTGTTATACTATTCTCTGCTTGTGAAGGAACTGGGAACCATGACAGAGTTGTGGTCGATGGTGATGGTGAGCTAGGACGTTCCTCATTAAATATAGCTAGTTGCAAATGCTCAAACTTTGGACCTCGCAAATATCTTTCTAAAACTAGATGTACCGATATCCCTGTGTTTCTTAATATTTCCACAGCTTGTGGGTTACTCTTATCAGCTAATGAAACACCATCCACTTCTATGATTCTATCGTTTAGTTTGATCTTTCCACTCTGTTCAGCACTGCTACCTTCTATAATACTTTTCACAAATATTCCTGACAATTCCTCCTTCTCACAGACATATCCTGCTACAGTGATGCCCAAGCCATACACATTTTTATTCAAATCCACATGGACAATTTCAACTTCAGGCAATGGTGGCAACTCAACAGGCACAGTTATTGTTATGGTGGGGGAGACCGCCTGAGCAACTATCGGCTGATCCGGTATCTGCTGAGGGTTATCACCGATTATACTAACGGCCGCCGCAACTGATTCTACATGGCCATTTTGTCCATTAATGTACTCTGTATAGCATTGAGACAGATCGTACACAGCTCCATAGCCACTCTCGATGAGGTGTCGGTCGAGTAGTTCCGGATCGGCAAGCAGTTTCGTAGGTACTAGCGCGGTACCAGGAATAGGTGCCCTCAGAGCCGTGGCGGGGTCGGCTGGGCGCGCCACCAGTAAACGGACCGACGGACCCGCCTGACGCAACACTGCAGCGACTTGCTCGGAAGTAAAGCCGCGTAGGTTCACGGAGCCCACTTGTAGCACGTGATCGCCGCTCTGCAGCCGGCCGTCCTTGTCCGCGATGCCGCCGGGTAGCACGTACTTGATCACAACGCCGGTGCTCCGCCCGCCGACCAGATTGAACCCAAGGCCGTTGCCATCGTTCGTGAGATCGACGACTTCCACCTGCGCCCACTCGGTGCTTAACACCATCGTCCTCCTCACCATCGAGGCCCGATGTTACGTGATACGCACGGCACGGACCACGCCGAGGTTATGCCTCCTCGGCAGCCGCATAGCGAAGCTGTCCTTGACAAATCACTTTTACACACCCGATTTATAACAAAACGCGTTATCGTGCAAAGTTTAACATAAAATTCCGTAAATTATGAGTAAAAATGACATTTACATACTCACTGAAGCTGAGACAGCGAGAATGTGGCCAGCTGCAAGCAAGTGTTCCCGACGAATAAAATTATCATCTAAAAATCGTAATACTCATGTCATGGATTTTCATTAAAAGTTGATTGAGTTTTTATTATTATATTATTTTATCATTTCTACCAATAAATGAGAAGTATAATATAAAATATTTGGTATTTTCGGATAATACGCAGTTATGCGAGTTAGGTTTAAGGACGTCCATCAGACCTCAACCAAAAAGGTTTCGTTTAAATTTAACTGTCATAATATTTCATGGACATCCAATGATTCATGATATGTACAAAGAAAAATAAATAACAGAGATGTATAACTGCGTTAATTATTATTTAATCAAATACGCCTATTATTTTTACGATCCATTTTCAAGGAAGGCCTATGGAAGGTGTTCATAATCATGAAAATTGAAGGGAAAGTCCGCAGCTATCTTTCTATTTTTATTTATCTTCAACTTTCGAACCAGATCGACTGAAGGACAAGAAAGGAAGGAAAGGATCACCAGTGGTGAAATAACAAATCACGCCATCTATGTTACGAAATTTATAAAGGTAGATTCGTTTACCAAAATGACAACTTAGTTTACACTTTGCATACTAGATAGCGCAGTATGTGTGCTAATGTTCCCAAAAATGCAAAGATTTTTTTTTATAGTACAAGATGACAAACGAGCTAGTGTTTACCAAAATAGCGAAATGTCTAGAGCTACCCATAGATATCCCCATTTGCTGATTCGTTGCCTACCTTTCAACAACAGATGAGTGGACGCAAAATGCACTTCCCCTTCCCATCATTTCCTTGTATGAAAAGAATGGGAAGGGGTGAGGGACTAAAAATAGGTCTCAGACATGCACACTCATCAGACGAATCATGGAATCATATCCACTTTACGCCTGTCTTAAGTGTGGTCGTGGTATTTCTCCGGTTGAGCCGGCCTATTCGTGCAAATGATGTTATTGCGGGCTCTACCATTGTTAAAGTGTCGCCGTCTTTCGATGGTTTTTGGAAACACAAATCTTTTCTTACTTTTATTCTAGTCTTTTACTTCAACAAATTCTTGAAGGGAGTTAAATAAATAAAACAATACAATTGATATATTAACATTTATTAAAAGTTTTTCTGATTTATTATAACAATAATTATAACGCTATGAATGAACTAAACACAATTTAATTTTATGATGAAACTTTTACCTACGTAAACGTGTGTTTTCATTCGATACATCAGATTGTGAAGTATTTTACCTCTACAGTCGAACTGTGTAGTTGAATCTCACGCGTATTGACAAGGCAACCTGTGAATTGTACCTATAGTTTGAAATTTAAAATGTTGTCTACACATGAAAGTTTTAACTTTAAACCTAAGAATATTTATAACAATCGTCTTCTTATCGTCAATTATGACAATATTACTATGACATTTATGTTATACTTTACGCACGATAGGTGCTGCAAAATAATTAAAAAAAATTCAATGGAGATTCTCACAAGTATTTGTGCTACGCGCACTGTACACGATACGCTGTTTGTACATACTGTTTACGATAAATAACATGTCTAAAAATAAATATAAATTACTATATCAAAGCCCAAATCTCAACAGTAAGTAGTAGTTTCTTACTAAAATGATATCACAAAACTCTATATATTGTCGTTATGTTATTTGCCATATCTAAAGCTAGTTTTAATTGATCAGTCAGAAAATATCTTTAGAGACTTTGCCTTAGCATAATACGTTAAAATAATATTTAAAAACATTGCTAAAAAGTATCTTACTGGCACACTCAGGTACTTTTACTTATGTGTAAACTGGATTACCCAGTCCTCAGTTATTGCGATCAGCCGGTCGATAAGCGCAATAAGAAAAAGAAATCCAATAAGATCCAGAAAATACCTCAATACATCCACTTAGCATCGTCACAAACATCCCATAGAATCAATATCGATGGTATTTTGTAGTATTCATCACCGCATCGGTCCTTCTTAAGGCCTATAAAAGTCTTCCATGTTGCAGTATTTTGGTTCTATAGTCTCTGCTACTCTTACGTCCTTTCTATTCGACGATGCGATGTGCGAATGAATAAATAAATAACTAAACTACTGTATATAAGGCACAGTCACGTACATGTCCGGTTTCGGCACCGACTTTTAAGGTCATCGGCGGTGTATCAACGTGGTGAGCATTTCGCGGAAGCGGCTCATCGCTCAACTTATGCCAGTCTCACTATTATATCTTTATCTGGCTCTTGCTTCCAATGGGTTCGAAATTAGTCAGTACCGACACAGGACAAGTACGTGAGTGTTAAGCCGTTTATAAATTAGTTTATGATAATGTCTCAAGAAAGTTTAAATAAATACATAATTTTATTTTCAACACACGTTAATTATGAATTGAATTTTGAAGGTTTGCTTGATAAAGAGATGTAACTCTGCTGCGACAAAATTAGTTAAAGCAAACACCACGCTAACAGTCGGATCTGTTTTCACACTTTGCCTTGTGGTGGTTATTTTTTGTTTTTAATACTTACTATGTATATTCTTTTGTTTCTATTTGTTCTAATTGAATTCGTAAGAACTCTCGTTAAAATAAAATGTCTCGCCGTGGGGTTGCCAGTTCAAAATCTGTATTTTAAACATATATCTCTGTGTTGTCAAAGATAATGACAGAGAAGATTTTGATCTCAGTAACCCCCGGTCAATCACTCAAGAGAAACTTAAAACTTACTTAAATGAGGTATCATTCAGGTCAGAGATTCCCAAAGGTTCTTTTCTTACAGACGCCTTTTAAAATTTTACTAGTATCGATAGTTCTTCAACTTGTGAACCGTCAACATTGTTTCCCCACATCGTTCATCTGCTCGGTTTCCCTTGGTGTGAGCACGGTAAACTCGTCGGGAAACCTTAGGAATCGCTGATTTAAATGATAGTATTTGTAAACTACATATATCATGATATATTACAATACTTTTATGATGACATTTTACAAAATAAGCTATCAACAGTTACAGTAGAGTTGGCCACTGTATAATCATTTGCACTTTTTACAATTACTACATTTCTGCTCTATTGTTTGGCAAACTTTATACGATATGTTATCAGAACGTAAATAATCAGAAAGTCAGAGAAACGGTTAATCAGATTCACAAACGATCCGAGGTGCAAAGCGCAAGTCAACTGATGCGAGGTGAATGTGAAGGGGCGCGAGCGAGCGCGGCGCAGCCCCGCGCGGGCCGCGGCACACTGCGCGCGGCGCATTCCCGGCGCCCGCCGCGGAGCCCGGCCACGCCCTCACACGCCCTAGCGGCCCGGCCAATGGCGCGCGCGCCCCACCGCGCCGGGGCCGAGGCGTGGGGCGGCGCGCGGGGCAGGGCGGCGGGCGGGGCGGTCGAGTGGTGCGCCGCGCCGGGGGCTCCGGGCGCCACTCTCGCCCCGAGAGCCACTAGAGGCTGAGCCGTCGAGTGGCGTGAGTGGCGTTGAGTGCGGCCGGTCGGATGTCCGCGGAGGGCGGCGGCTACTCGCCGTGTCCGGCGGAGGCGCTGCCGGAGCTGAGCGCCGCCGAGCTGGCGATGAGCCTGTCGCCGAAGTCGGCGCTGCTGCAGCAGAACCTCTCGCAACTGCAGCTCCAGCATTCGACACCCTTCTCCGTCACCGACATCCTCTCGCCGATAGAGGAATACCGCAAATTGGAGCTCGCGAACAACCCGCCGTCGCCGTACAGGTGCGTGCATCGATCGGGCGCGGACGGGGGCCGCGGGGCCGAGCGGGGGGCGGGGGAGCCGACCTCCACCCGCTGATTTTTCGAGTGGGCCGAAGGTCTCGAGAGTACTCGACCGGCGCTCGTAGTCGAAGGATATAGTTCTGTGACGTTTGTTTGTGCAGGTATGTTGTGATCGGCGGTCAAGTGAGATGCGATGTGAGTGCGAGTGCGGGCTCGAGGACGTGACGCGCTAGGCCGCCGCGACGCCGCGCCGCCGCGCCGGCCGCTCGGGCCTCGGGCCGCTAGGGCCAACATTGCGATTCCTTACTAAAGTACCATAAATAACAACAAGCAGCTCGACTTGTACTCGACCGTGATGTTTGTCCGCGAGCTGGTCAGTTCCGGCAGCTAGTCACAGCTAGGGGTAGCGAGGTGTAGCGGCGTGCGGGGGGACGCTGGCCGCGATGACGCTCGAGGCGTATATGCATATGTATGTATATCCATCATTATCCCATTTGTTACGGTTTACTGAAGCTTCGAGTGATCTACAAACGTTGCAGTTTATTTATATCCGATATTTAAAGAAACTAAGTAAACAATAGCATCGGTTTTAAAATATTAAAGTTGAAACTACACAGAATGATTGATTTTAAAAGAATTTAAATATTTTTACTAAAAAATTACTCGGTTTCGTTAACTAATTAAAATAAATAAACGATCAAACAATAAACATAGATATTGTTATACAATAATATTAGGCCTATTACAAGTTAGCAATTTTATTTGCGCGAAATTAACTTAATTTTTTCTCTGAGTTTGAACAAAAATAAAAATCTTTTGAATGGAAACTTTTATACGATTTTTCGATCAATTGTGGTTTAGGACTCCTAATAATACTTGAAAATTAGCAATGAGTAAATTCTACATGACATAGTAACCTAATAACATAAAGAGAAAACAATAAACACGTCGTTGATCACCTCGGTGTTCCCGCAGCTCGTTTGCCCCCTTCTCTTATAAAAAACCAATATTAATAATGCATAAATATTATAACTTTGTATAATACAAGAATAACATAGGTTATTGTGTCTGTTTTATTATTCAATTAAAATAAGACGATCGTAAGTTAAGTTAAAATTAAGTTATCCGAACTCGTTGAAGTTTTTTCTATTGAAATTTTGTTATTGTACTTAATGTGTACGAATTACAATAACTTCACCTTAATTCATCACTTTATCACATTCAAACTTATTTATAGACTAAAAAATCCTGAATTATATTATAATTTCTTTTAATAAATTGAAATTTAACTTAGCATATATAGGCGGCCATTTCCTTCGTACGGGTGGACATTTTTTATGCAAACATTTTATAAC